TATAAAGACACAAGAAGGTAGTATTCTTATTCTTTGACACATCGCAGTGCTATTCAGAAAAGCCCCATAGGCATGACTTAGGCATGAGATTAGCATCTCCCTCAAACACAACACATTGTAACATAAGATAGCGCAACAGGACGCGCATAACACAAGATAAGGCAGCACGACACAACATGACATACACAAGATGTCTCATTTGGCTGCCGTCTCTTTGTATGCCGATGTATCAGACAATCTCTGTGAATCCGCTTTCTATATCACGCTGTGTGTCGGCCAAGGCCAGAGTCCGTCACGCAAATGAAGTTCCGTGAGGCTTTGCATTGCTTTGCATTGCTTTATGTGGTAGAATCGGATAGAATCGGATAGAATCAGAATCCGTAGAACTCAAGCTGCACACCTGCTCGATGCAGCCAGTGCAACACGATTCCTTTGAGAGTGGCTTGGCCACTCTTTGTTTACGCTGGTGCATGCTACTTCTGGCCTCGTCAATGTGACTGTGTCATACTGTGTCGCGTTCTCCTGGTTCTTGATGGTTCTTGAAAATCCAGTGGCCCTGCGCGAGCCTGATCAACCCGTTGTGCCGAGCAAATTGTGATGCTTTGAGTAGGAAGCAAACATAAGCCACGGTTGCTTGACTTTGGAGAAGGCCTTTGAAAGTGCTTGAACTTGAAAGAACAGCTTGATAGTGTCTTCCATTCCCGCGCCTGCAGCATCTGCCTCGCGTGCCACGCCTTCCACACTCTTTTAGCAACATCCTTCCAAGCTCTGGCCTGCAGGCTTTTGGCAAGCTTGTGAGAAATGCTCAGAAAGATTGCCTCAGAAAGCAAGGGGCCCTGGACATGCACGTCAGACTGCAAACATGGTCGCCCAGACACGTGCTAATTACATCATATTATATTATATATATATACACACATCCAATTAGTATAATTAGTCAATTACAGTTATATAGTCAATTAGTACGTAGTGCTAGCAGCAGCATGTTCTGCCTATGTGTGGTTCTAGCCACAGTTTTATCGCACCATGTTCTCTGAAAACGGGACAAGACCACAAGAGTACTCGAATCCAGGTGGGGCTTTGAAGGTGACTTTGCTGCTCAGAATATGATGACTGCCTTTGGAAAGGCAAGAAATTCCAAGCATGGTCAAAGTTCAAATGCCACATCCACGAAATGTCTGATCGGTTTGATTGCTTTTATTCCAGCAAGCTGTTGGAATGGACAACTTCGGCAGCAGGTTGGCCACACACCAGAAGTGTACTCGCTCAGCCTGGAGATTGACAAGCTGCTTCGCATCACTTCAGGCCATAGATTCCATAGATCTTCGTTTGAAAATGAAAGGCACAGTGTGGCACCTCTTCAGTGAGTTTTACTGCAGCAAGCGGCTTGTCTACCAATTCTTCGTGCTTCATGCTTGCAAGTTGCTCTGCTCATGCTAGCCACAGACGCTTTTGAATAGGAAGCTTTTTGGAGCTTTTGGCTCAATTGAAATGTAATGTGTTTGATTTGCTCTTGAGTGCTCTCACAGGAAAGCCAGCTCTGGAGCCCGCCATGGACTGTGAGCTCCTTTACATGGAGAATGAGCATTTCTCCTTGGTGGATGCACTGCCCTATATTGACACTCAACTTGGAGCTGCAGAGGTGGCTCAGCAAGTGAAGGCTTTGATCGAAGAGGAGATGACCCAGTTTGAGCCGCGGGACTACCTCGCATCACTGCCTGCACCAGAACTACCTTTTCTCAATAGCTCCAACATGCAGGAGGAGTTCTCTCGGGTCAGTGTGCGTCAACCCTTGGGAGCCATTGACCAAAAGAAATATGAAATAGAACGACCCGAAGGAGAAGCAGCCGAAGATGAAGAATCATGGAAGAAGATCGCTTCCACGGCTCAGATGAACTTAGAATACACACGCATCAAGTCATTGAACTTAGAACTCCTGGAGCAATGGGGCAAAAAGGCTTGGATAGCTCACAATATGCTGATCCGTGGTGCTGAGAAAGTTCTTGGCAAAGAAGCCACTGAGATCAGAGCAAGCCGAGAAGAGGTGAACAAGAAACGAAAACTTGACCAGGTCTCTTGTGGCAACGACCTGCGAAAGTTGATGCGTGAACTTGAACAGTACCAACAGGACAACAGCCAAGTCGAGCAAGCTGTCAGAGGCTTGGAATCAGACCTCAAACGCCTGAGAGACTTCGCCATTGAGCGTGGCGTTGACATTGCCGATGTGGACCCGATGGCGATGCCGGAATCGGAGATGGACACAAAATGAATCAAAATGACACATGTGCAAGGACACAAAGAGGACACAAAGAGGACACGTGTTCAAGTGCGTGAAAAGTACAGGAGTGCAAGGACAGTAGAAGACAGTGAAGCTGTTGCGTTAACAATCTGCTCTTTGTCTCGGGGTGCCAAAAAAGCAAGCGATTTTCGTGCATTTTGAGCTATTTGATTGGCATGGTGACATGGTGAATTGAATCTACATTTCACGTTTTGATCATTTCGCTGCACACAAAAGCGCTCCTGGAAGCCATTCTGCAGGTGGAATGATTGCTGCTCCACTGAAGCCAAAGAAAGAAGAGCAGGCTGTTTTCTTCACGAAAATTATCTGGAACATTCTGGAACCATGTTCGAACCATGTTCGAACCATGTTCGTAATATTTCGTAATGCGTGGGTTGGCTCCACTGGCTTCCTGTCAAATCTTCAACTTACATAGGTTGTGCCATGGTTGTGCCATGTTGTGCCACTTGCACCAAATCGAATCTCTTGGATGGCTTCTCCACAACTAGACGAGGAATCCATAGCAATCACACATTTCGTAGACAAGTATACATTTACAACATTTTAATACATTTTACAACAAATTTCAAATCCTTGCAGTATGATGCCATATGCAATCGCACTTACAGGCTTGTGTTTCTCAAATGCAAGTGAATTCTGTTTTTTGCTGTACAACATGTCTTCCCCGTTCTTGTGTTCGATGGTGCCCAATGTGGTTGTTGATGTATGTCATTCAGCTTGTGGGACAGTGTATCGCAGGCAGTTCCCAAAGTGAGTGAGCAACAATCGACTCAGGACATGCGTTTGTGAATATTTGTGACGTGGGACATACATTTGTGACAATGGAGTCAAAACTTCTGCAAATACTGCAAAGCTGATCCAATACAGTCATGGAAGAATCCACGTACTTTGACCAATTTCATGATCGGCTGATGCTTTCGATGTAGCAAGACGTGGCATCTTTGAGGTGACGTAAATATATATGGATGACACGGAATGATGCTCCCCAATCCCAGGAGGCTACGAAGCAAAAGTCATCGAAATCACCAGCCCAGCTCCTGGACATGTCCATGCTCTACATGCTCTAATTACATCATATTACATCTACAGTATATAATTACGGCATATTACGGCATTAAAAGCACTTGAGGCCTCTGGATCAATCCTGGATCCAGGATTTGTTATCTACAAAAAGCCAGGGCAGAGCCAGGTGGCTCATGGTGGTCACTGGTGGACCGCTTGCCTGACTAAACCTAAGGTCACTATTACCATTCGTCAAGCTGTCGACGAGGAGAACCAAGCTCCTGCACCACCGTTGAAGGCGCAAATTGTACTTTCTACTTGGCCAGAGTTCTAGTGCTCTGGTTTCTCCGAACATCATTGAATGGCAAACAAGTTTACAAGAGATTATATATAAGATATTACAATTAATATATTACAAGATATATACATTTTTCAAGAGAAACTTGCTGCGGCTTTGAGGTCACTGTCCCAGCAGATGCCACCATGCGGAAAGTCAAGCAGGCTTTTCAGTAAGGGCCATTTGAAGATCATGGACAAGTGAAATCAAGTGAATAGTACGGAGAGATACATAGATTAGAGCCTTTCCAGGACAGCTTGATTTGGGGGTTTATGGAAGGCAATTGCAGAGAAGCTCGGGATGAAGCGCTCAACAGCTATCAAGCCCTTACCTGAGTTTGTAAGAGACATGAGGCTAAGACACATGTGGTGTCTATGTTTAAATGGTTGAGCGGGATGGGCTCAAAATCGCGCGTGCATGAAATGAGTGTTGGTCAGTTGGTCAATCCATTTTTGCTCCAGGAGAGTTGGACAATGTTGGACAATTCTTTTTGACGTTTGTCGAACATTTATCAGGCTTGTGTTTGACCTACACGGAAGAGCTGCGAAGGCTCGCAGCTCATTGAACACTTGCAGATTCACTTTATGAACAATGCATATAATACCGGTATTTAAGTAGATTTTGACTGGCAAAAACGGCCATCTTCATCTATCATCTGAGAAATAGTTGGTGGCAAACTGCAGATTCATTCCCGAACGCACAAAAGGATTCATGTGGCTAGCCATGTATGGTTCGTGCATTTGTTTCCATGCAAGCCAGTACTAGGCATCAGATACCTACACAGGATGGTGCTTCCAATCGCGAAGTTCAAAGTGTTATCAGGTAGTTCCATTGCAGGTTTCTCCCATTTTCTTGCTACTTCTTGATGTTGCAGCTGTCTTCCATGTTTCCAGAAACTGATTTACCCTCATAAACCCAATGACAGCTTCGACTCCGCGATATTGCTAATTTTTTTTACCGCATTCTTTTAACGTGCCGAGTTGCGTAAGACATCTTCGACGGACAGCGGCATGACTTTTGCGTCGCTTGCTTGGTCAAAGGACCTGAAGTCAATTTGAAGTTATATATCTGTTGTACTCTGTTGTGCCGCTACTGTGCTGTCTTGGATGGTCTGACGAGCTTTCGTGCTGACTGTACTCTTCATGTCTTTTTGCATCCTTTTGCGATGACTCTCAAGAGAGCTCTTCTCCGCACCAGGATTGTTTTTGCACTTTGCTATCGTATCTGAGGTCTTTTAAAGACGATGAACAGATTGGCTTACGAAGAGAGCTTCTTGTGTAACGACCTTAACACGCCGTGAATGACACGATTTGTATCGAATGGTGGCAGACCATGACCAAACTATTTGCTGATAGTATTTGATAGTTACATCGTGCCTTCAAACGCAGCTCACGTGCGATTTTGTACGATGACTTGATGCATGCGATGTTTGATGTTGTTTGACGTTTGAGGTTAGGAGCTGACTTGAGCCAGGCTTCCGCCGTCAGAGATGAAGAGAGAGAGAGAGAGGGAGAGAGACAACGTGAAAAAACTGACAGCAGCGGACATAGACAAAGACCAGTGTGTCAACGCCAGTGGTACACAATGATCAGACATGATAAGACATGACAAGACTATGTAAGATAGTGTAAGATACGGTTGAGAGATGTTGAGAGAAGATGGATAAATGTGGAATTAACGGGAATGGAATAGCACTCCAGGCGCCAATCCAGCCGAGGGTTGTCTGGCAAGGTTGGTGTGGCTGGAAAACCATCCTTGGGAAATCCAGTGGTTGTGACCATTCGAGAAGCTGAATCTTCAAGAGAGGCCTCCTTTGTCTGGGAGTTGAGATGTTTAGAGCAGCACCACATCTCAGAGTAGATATATGATATATGTAGTATATATGTTATATGTTTGAATCATTTTGAATCGGTCTCATGATTTTCGATTATATATTTATTTTATTTTCATTGTGAGTCAGATCAGCTTCCGGAGTCGGCACTGGCGCATACTGTATTGGTGCCGTCTTTACAAAGGCATTTTGGCTTTGTGTCCTTTAGACATCTTTAAACATTCGAATGTCGGAGTTGGAGCTTGTAACTTGGCAGGCCCAAGTCATGGTCTACCCCTGCTCCACGATGCATGATGTGAAGGTTGGACCAAGCTGCGCGGCTTTGGAGTTGCAACAGGAGTATCAGTTGAGATCAGTTCACATCACGTAGCTAAGACATGCTAGGACAAAAAGTGGACCTACTCAAATAATTGTAACAACAGCACGAGCAGAGCTTCTGGCCAGATTTCCGTTGCCAAACGTTTGCAACGCTGGGATATCTTTCAAAAGGCCCGGTTGGTTCGAAGCTCAGGATACATACATATATATATATATACATTATAATAAATATTTACTGGTAGGGAGGCTTCGGCTCGGACTGGTTAAGAATGACAGATACTGTAATGACGGAGTCATTTAGAGTCTTTGAGATTAATTCTTGGCGTGAAGGTTTTTGTGTTCCTGATTATATGTGTTTGATGTTCAGATTCCGGAAACTAGGCTCATGAGGTTGATGGCAAGCTGCACCGGTTGCAAGACCAAGATGCGCAGAGCTTGGCAAAGATGTGGCCGCAGAAAAGAGCTAAGAACATCCCACAGAGTACAGCAAAATACAGAACTTCGTACAGCAAAGTAGATGTAAGCATGGGCAGACGGAAGCGTTGGCCGAACAAGGTTGTGGGTGCTCAACGACATTTTATCATTGAAAGCATAGATCTTCTTCACAGGAATCTCCAGGACTGCTGCTTGATGCTCTCTTAGCGGTCTCAACAATGTTTCCCTTTGCTTGAAATCTGGTCATTCTCCACTTGAGCGAATCTAAAAGTGGCAGTGCTTCTGTTGGAAAAGACCGAGAGGGCCCTGCACTTGCACAGTCTGTAATTTGAAGCAAAGGACCTGGAGTCTGTGACTCAGGCTGGCCAACACCACGAGGCTGAACAACAGGAGACTACAGCTGTGCAAAATACTCCCATCTCACAAAATAATGAAAGACGGATCAACACTGTGAAGTTGTCCGCGTGTGCAGTGCGCTGGTAGTGCTTGTACAATCTGATTTGCTGCGAATCTGAGAAACTCTGTCTAGGAGGATTCCCTCAGCCCTCTGCCAGTGCTGCTTTCTGCTGCGTGGCAACGCAAGTAATGAGGGTCTACTGCGGGGGGCACGTTGTCCAGCAGAAGGTATCAGGCTTGCAAAACAGGGTGTGCAGCAGTTGTCACGACAATCAAAATCCCAAAGACTTGACTTCTGCAAGAAGCATATCAAAAGCACATGCACAGACGCGGCGTTTCTACATGAAATCTTCAGTTTTCTTGCACTTTCAGCAATCTGCATTGATTGTAAGACGATAGATGGACCGAAAAAACACACATTATATATACAATGTATGTTTGGATATGCATGGTCATACATCATGATACACAATCACCCCATATGTGTGCATGCAACTGGTTGCCGTGTTGTTGTGCACGGACATACTCAGGTTGTTCACGCTACTGATGGCGACAAAGTAATGCTTAGCCTGCCTGCTACTTCCACAATCAAAGAGGCTGGGGGCTCAGACATTTCGACGATGTTGCTTCTCTGAATCATGCAAACTTTAACATAGATGCTTAGATGATTAGGTGCTTGAAGTGACCCACCCTTTTCTTGTCTTGTCATGCAAACCAGATGGCAAAAAGGTGGCGTACATGGGCATACTACTTCCCCTTGCTCTGCCACACTTCATCATTTAATTTCAGCCATGTGGCAGACCGAGACAACATTGCTTGATTCAGGTGTTCGAGGCATTGGTAGACAAACTAGAGCACAGAGAAAAGATACTGGCACATGGCAAGCTGGTTCAGAAGGCCTGTGGCTGTAGTTTTTCTGTCCTTTCCAGTATACGGTACTGACAAGATCTGACAAGTGCTGAAATTATCTGAAATTCAGATCTATTTCCTTTGAAGGTTGGTGAACGCCTGGACCCACTCGATGCTCACGACATTGTTGCTCAGAGGTGAGACCGTCCACAGGGTCAGGTGAGTAGTGGGCCGCAGTAACTCGTATAGAGTTATAGAGCGATCGGAATTGTGAAGCTGCCTCTCAGTTTACTACCAGGTTCCCGGTATGGGCCAAGACGTGTCTCTTCTTGCCTCTTTCCATCCTCTTTCCTTTGTGAATGAGTGTTGCAGTAGGAAACTGGTTCTGGGCTAGCAGCGAGTTTATCGAAGAACATTGAAGACAGGTAGCGATGCTGAGTGCACAGGTCAACCATGGCGATTGCATTTTTCACTCCTTGTGTTCTTCAGTTTCCAAGTAACTGAACAGACCTTTGTTTTAATTTGCTTCTCCCAAAACTTCAGAGGGTGGACCATGAGTTGTTCAGGAGTTCTTCAATGTTCTTTGCCGTTGTTCTATGCCACCTACAGTATTGTCCATTACTAGAGGGGCTTGAAACTCTCTTGCGCAGGCGCACATTGTACTTCACAGGCTGTGAACTTCAGCGTCTTCCGCATGGGTCTCAAATCATCTCAAAGTGAGTCTGGGACCCCTCGATTCCTCCTTTGCATTTGAAAGCATCCACCAGAATCCACCCAAAAGCCAAGGCGGTTGAAACTTGCCTGAAGAATGTTTGGGTTAACAAAATGAAGGCAGCAGCATCTACAACATCAGCATATTACACCAGCATTCCACCAGCATTTATCCGTACACATGAGCATGGTAAGTGTTTGACATTGTTTGGCACTTGCGTAGTTCTTATGCCGTTCGTGTAGCTACTTGGGAATGGGTGAGTGCTGAGGCAAGCAGAGATCCCCTTCAGTGTTGGATCGCACAGGGCAACAATTCAGGCACCGCAAAATCAATGGGAAAGATTGGGAAAGTGGTGCGCACTTCAGAATCACATCATTGCTGTCCCTATGCGTTGCTGTGTGCCGTAAAGACTCTGCGCAACGGAATTTTGAGTTTCTACTGTGTAGTTAGTTAGTTTTGGCACTATAAATTTACTTTGAACCGCCGTAGAATTGACGATTATTTCGGCTTTGAGTGGCAAACCTTCCATAATCCATTCAGAACATTGCGGAATATATTATCAGACCTTCAGAAGAAGAAAATACATTTGACAGATTCTTGGGTGATGTTGAGCTCTCCATATAGACTTGATGTATCTTGATGTTGGTCGCACACTTTAACTTCAAAAAGGATCCAACATTCAAAGACTTCTTTACACACAAACATGGGAGGCAATCCCCCACAAAATGGTTACACTAAATTGTCCACAGACTTGACCACTCGACTTTGCCATTGGCCATTGGCTTGTTTAGAAAACATGAGAAAGACATGTTGTGTCTCTTGTGGTTGTGGAGACAAAGCAGTTGAAACCGCCCTGCGGCTGGGGTTTGCCGTCGGGTTTATGATACTCCCGGCATTTGTCTGTACTGAGTTCGATTCCACTAGAACAGAGTTTAGCCTGTGCATTTCGATATCATAGTTGATCATAGTTGATCATAGGGAGTTCGGGAGTCATGATCCTTTTACACCAAACGGTTCCAAACAACACCCCAAATCACTTCCGAAATATTCCAACGGATCTTTGGGTGTAGTAGAGCTGAAAGCAGTACCAAAATTACAAAATATGTTCAGACTTGACTTGGGACAATTTTTTGATGTCGGTGCCAATCCACAAGCTGCTTTAGAGGTGACGATCAGAAAAGCAAACGATGAACATCCGGGTCCGCATGAAGTCGTACTCGAGGCGGTTTGCAAGTCTTGCCAAAAGCAGCAGGATCAGCAGGCAGTGCCTGAAGATGGCCAGTGTCAGCCACTTTCAGGTTTCGGCAGATGGAACAATGCAGGATGTGAAAGAGGAGGTTCGGACCACTTGCCTGTCGCTACTTGCAAAACAAACTGATGTGATGGATATCAACACCTGGATTCTAGTCTGCAACGCTTTAGCTCGGTGCTCAGCTTTGAACATTTTGCAGTTGGCTCGCTGGCTGGGCCGTCCAGAGCTGAAACACGTTGCGAGCTCAGATTGTGTTTTGAGTTTTGAAAGCATGAAGTTAGGAGAAGAGTATGCAAGAACTGCAAGAACAATAAAGACAACAAAGGGCTCAAAGGGATCAATGCTTAAAGCAAATGGATTCAATCTTGCATCCAAAACGATACAATTGTCGCTTTAGGCGAAGCTTGGGACCTACGAAGGCACTCTACCAGTTGATTTCACTTGCTGGACTTGCGCGCTCTTTCACTTCGTTGTGTTGCCACAAGCACTCTTGCCAGGATCAAGTGGTTTGCGACGGTATCAAGATTCAGAAAAGATTCGCAAGCACCCGATCATATTTTTAGTTGGAGAAGGCCCCGTGCGCCTAAAGGGCAGGATTTTTGCATTTTTTGCAATATGTACTGTATGTAATGTAATGTAATGTAATGCAATGCAAGGCAATGCAATGCAATGCAATGTAATGTAATGTAATGTATGTACTGTAATGTACTGTAATGTACTGAATGTAATGTAATGAAATGTTCTGTAATGTACTGTAATGTACTGTAATGTAATGTAAATAATGTAATGTAATGTAGTGTAGTATAATGTAATGTAATGTAATGTAATGTACTGTATGTAGTATAATGTAATGTAATGTAATGTAATGTAATGTAATATACTGTATGTAATGTAATTTAATGTAATGTAATTTAATGTAATGTAATGTAATGTAGTGTAATGTAATGCAATGCAATGTAATGTAATGTAATGTAATGGATATACTGTAATGTAGTGTAATGTAATGTACTGTAATGTAATGTACTGTACTGTAATGTAATGTAATGTGATGTACTGTACGGTATGTATAATGTAATGTAATGTGAAGTAAAGTAAAGTAATGTAATGTAGTGTAATGTAATGTAGTGTAATGTAATGTAATGTAATGTTGTGTAATGTAATGTAATGTAATGTAATGTGATAGTTATATTATGTAATGTAATGTAATGTAATGTTATGTTATGTTATTGTATGTAATGTAATGTATTGATATGTTATGTTATGTTTTTAATTAATGTAATGTAATGTAATGTTATGTTGTATTATGTAATGTAATGTAATGCATAATGTTATTTTATTTAATGTAATGTTCTGTAATATAATGTAATGTAGTGTAATTAATGTAATTAATGTATGTATGTAATGCAATTAATGTAATTAATGTATGTATGCGATGTATGTAATGTAATGTAATCTAATCTAATCTAATGTAATTAATGTAATCAATGTATGTATGTACGTAATGCGATGTAATGCAATGTAATGTAATGTAATGTAATGCTATGCTATGCTATGCTGTGCTATGCTATGCTATGCTATGTATGTATGTATGTATGTATGTACGTATGCATTGTATGCAATGTATGCAATGTATGCAATGTATGCAATGTATGCAATGTATGCAATGCATGCAATGTATGCAATGTATGCAATGTATGCAATGTATGCAATCTATGCAATCTATGCAATGTATGCAATGTATGCAATGTATGCTATGTATGCAATGTATGCAACTTATGCAATGTATGCAATATATGTAATGTATGTAATTTATGTAATGTATGTAATGTATGTAATGTATGTAATGTATGTGACGTATGTAACGTATGTAACGTATGTAACGTATGTAACGTATGTAACGTATGTAATGTATGTAATGTATGTAGTGTATGTTATGCATGTGATGCATGTAATGCATGTAATATATGTAATGTATGTAATGCATGTAATGCATGTAATGCATGTAATGGATGTAATGGATGTAATGTATGTAATGTAATGTAATGTAATGTATTGTATTGTATTGTATTGCATTGCATTGCATTGCATTGTATTGTATTGTATTGTATTGTATGTTATGGTATGGTATGGTATGGTATGTATGTATGTATGTATGTTATGTTATGTTATGTTATGTTATGTTATGTTATGGTATGTATGTATGTATGTATGTATGTATGTATGTATGTTGGGTTTGAAGATATTTTGCATACTGCACGTTCTTTACAGAAAGTCAACTGAGCAAGAGCAACCACCAGCACTTTGGTGCCTCACATTTCCAAGTTTGAGACAGGACATCATGGTAAGATATGCTCACATGGAGTGGTTTTTATTCCAGACAGAAAGGGGACGGGGAACGGCTGTCTACGTTTCGACTACGAAGATGGCTGGAAACTTATGACCTGCAAAGACAAAGGACGAAGGAATGGCATGTGCGAGAAACTAAGCAACATCATGTTCAATTTTAGCATCCAACCTGTTCTGTTCAGTTTTCTTGCTACAAATGTGCTCGAGGTTCTTACAATGCCAAATGATGAGAAATCAGGATTCGCAGGATAAGTGGTCAATTCTTATGTCTTAAGGGTGTAGTGTTGAAGGGTTCCCGAATGATGTGAATTACAAGAAGCGTCAAGCCAGCAGTACAATGTTCAAGCTTTCCACGCACCCACACTTTGGGATCGAGTCAAATGCTCGAAGATTTATTACGCAGGCTTGCAAGCATCTCCGCAGTCGCCGGCAGCTTCACCCGAGCAGGCATTGCCAAAGACACAACCTAAATAGACCATGATATACCTAAATTATGAATACATGTGACAATGTATTATGACTAAGGATCACAGAGCATTCCAGCATATTCCTGCCATCAATATGCTAATCATTTATCAGTTACCCTGCTCAGAAAGTGAAACTGCCAGCGCAAGAGGCCGAAAGGGAAAGGGTGGTTGACCATGGTCGATCAACAGCAGAATTTTAGCAAAGTTGCCTTTTTGAAAAAGGAAAGGACCTTCAAGGGAAGACATAGACTTATGAGAATCTTGGAGTCGTTTTTATGCCAGGAGTGGAGTAGAAGCTTAAACTTAAACCAACATAAACCAACCAAATCCCCCAAACATGTAGACCCCAAAGTAAATGCAAGTACAATGCCAAAAACGCAAACAATACAACAGGGCAATCGGTTGAGATGTAGAAAAGGCCCAGCTGGGAGAATCTCTTAAACATAGACGCTCAAGATGTTAAAGATTGGAGGCTGCTGGCGGGCAAAATGATAGCTTGCTGTTGGACAGCTTTCTGGAGCAGTGCCAACAAAGCCAAGTCTTTCGACTCTTTAGATCATGTTTAGATCATGTTGACTTGTTTCTGACTTATTTGAATTCGTTGTGAATATTCGGTTTGGAGGAAGTGCAGGTTTGAGTCAAGCTATGCCGTGATGTATGTTGTTCAACAGACCTATTCCAGCCAAATTGAGAACCTCCCTCTAAACTCGAAGCATTTAAGGAAAAGGATGGTGTGATGTGACAGATCCCCGAACGACCTTGTCCACAGTCGCCAGGTGGTTCTTCTCCTTCTGGAGTTGCAACAAGTGCTGCAGGCCAGCGTGCTTTCGCAGACGCTTTGGACCGCAAGATACTCCAACATTTACATACCTGTTCCAGGTACATTTACGTAAGTCAAGAACCGTGAAGTGATGTAAAGATGTCAGATGTCAGGAGATGTCTCAAGTGCAGGATGAAAACTTTGACGAGATACTGGACAAGATCGAAATCTGCAAGAGCAAAAAGGCATCGTATTGGCAACAGCAGGGCTTAGAGCATGCGGTAGCATACTGGCATATTTTTTAAGACCCCACAATCATATACTGTATTTTGATATACGCATATATATATATTCGGTTTTCGCAGCCAAGCTGCATCGTGGAGTTCCCACACTCAGCAAAGCAGTCTTTCAGAATCCGTCGGGGCTCCCCATTTTGGCAGATCACGAAAGCTAGCTTGCTACTGTAGCAGGCAAGAGCTTTGCTTCAAATGTATTGGGGGGTCATGTGTCAAGGGCCCCCTGGGCCCCCCCAGGCCACCCCCGGCCAGCGACGTGTGAAATATCATGAAATATCTCATGTTTGGACCAACCCCCTGGCCCTTTCCCCGGGAGAAAGAGAATGTAGCGTGAGCTGCTGCCACCAATAGTAACACGCCGCCTGGTGAAGGTATCGAACAATATCGAACAAAACAGAATTCAGCAAACACAGCACCAACATAGCAGTCGCAACACACGCTCTTTATCCAGAACCATGAAAATCAAAAGTCCTGGATACATACACTTTCTATGTGCGATGCCTTCACGCCGCGAGACTTGATCGATAGAGCCAATGCTGGTTTCGTTGGCTACGGCTACATCCCCGTGTCCGCCCTTCTTCATGGTTTAGATAGCCCCAAGCCAAGCCTCAATCAACCCTAAACCGCCCATCAATAAACTTTAAACCAATCCTAAATAGACCCAACACAACGCAACACAACATAACCCTTAAACAACCCATACACTGACCCTAAACAACCCCTAAACGAACCCTAAATAACCCTTCAACTTAAACCAATTTCAGATAACCCCAAATCAACCCTCAAAAACCCTGAGCCAATCTTAAACAAGTTTAAAACCAACCATCGAAAATGCTCGGTTCGAACTCCAAAAGTGTTGCAAATATTGTTGAAACGGCAGCGTCGAGCTCCAACATGTTCACAACATGTTCACAAAATGCTTCCAAAACATGCGAATGCGAGATTTCCAGGTTCAATGTCCTTGCTGGCGAGAGGTTCCACTTCCAAAGCGCTGCAAATACCACAGAAATGTTCGGTTTTGTCTCCAAACTGTTGCAAGGGCCATAGAAAACGAAGGGTTCCTTTTTTTTTTGGATGCCCACACAATACTCACTAAACACAGAGGCAACATAGCAGTCTTACACACCCTAAGTATTCAGAAGCACCAAAAGGAGCGCCACTGGATACATACCATCTAGCAAAGGTATATCCAAATAAGAAGCTGGGTGATGTTGCAAAGCTATCAGCACAATAGGAAAAGAGGATGTAGGATGAACTGCTCATGTCTTTTCCATATATAAATTTATATGATTTTTCCTCCCCGTCCCGCCCCCGCACATTCAAAATCCGAAGAGATGCTTCCGCCTTTCCAGACTAACTTTTGTTCCCTTCCCTTTGGCTTCAAGTTCATATGCTTTCGGCGGCAGAAATGTGGGGAACCCCCCCACTCCTTTGCCGTAGATATTTGGCGGTGCTTTCGAGAGGAAGCCAACTGGGAAGAAGAGAGCAATGAACTTTTTGCAAAAGGGTTAACAAAGGCCGCGGCCTTACTTTCTGCGCCGTGGCATTTTTCCTGACAATTACATTGTCAGAAAATGTGGGATCGTCCTTTATGAATTTTGACCAGCCATGTATACATATTATATTATAATATATAATATATTAATATATATTATATATACATAGTGATCATAGTGTGTTACGTTCTTGTGTTTCAATGAATATACACATGTTCATGTTTCGACTCAGCTTGGTTTTACAGTCCTTGACAGTTTCTGGTACTTGACCTGGGTCTTCGGGCTTTCTTGTGAATCAGTCATGCTGGTAGTTGTTTCTGTTTGTCTTTTGTTTTGCATGCTGTATCCATTGTCTTCTGGTCCTGGATGATGCATGCTGCATGCATTTCAATGAGGTTTGGAGCCCAACGCTGGTCCGGAGGGGGTTCTCGCCTGGGGAGGATGGCTTTCAGGTGCCCATCTCGGCAAAGACTGTGAAGGTCCGTCAGGTAAGAACTCTTTGACATCGTTTGACCACATATGCAAATACATCCGTGTATGCATGCGGAGTGAATAATTAACATATATACCATGTTGATTGCACATGTATGTGTATATACAATGATATACATATATAATTCCACTTTATACTTTATACAAACGTACATGATATACAGAAAGCACATACATTACATATATATATATATACAATTATATATACATACACGCAACACATGGTTTTACATTACATTGCATTGCGTTACATTACGTTACGTTACGTTGACGTACGTACGTGCGTACATACATGCAGACCTGCAGACAGACAGACAGACGGACAGACAGACAGACAGACAGAGCGAGAGAGAGAGAGAGAGACAGACAGCCATGCATACATGCATACATGCACATACATACAGATACATACATACAAATAGATAGATAGATAGATATATATATATATATACATACATGCACATACACACATGAATATACCTACATGCATATACCTACATGCATATACCTACATGCATATACAAACATGTCTATACATGCATGCATATACATACATGCATATACATACATGCATATACATGCATGCATATACATACATGCACATACATACATGCATATACAAACATGTCTATACATGCATGCATATACATACATGCATATACATACACGCATATACATACACATACACATACACAGAGACATACGTACACATACACATACACATACACATACGCATACGCATACGCATATACACATCACACACACACATATGCATATACATATACATATACACATACAGTACACATATATACGTAGATACTGTATCCATGTATCTGTAAACCGATGTATACATATACTGTATATATCCATGTATGGATGTGTATACTGTATCCATGTATCGATGTATCCATGCATCCATGTACCCATGTATTTGCGTATCTATGTATCTATGTATCTATGTATGATTGTATGATTTTATGTATGTATAAATGTAATGTAATGTAAGGTAAGGTCATGTAATGAAATGTAATGCAATGTATTGTATGTATGTATGTCTGTATGTATGCATGTGTGTATCTATGCGTGTGTATGTATGTGTGTATGTATCTAGGTATGTAGATATATATATATGTATATGTGTATAAATGTATATATGTATTTCTGTATTTATGTATATACGTATATGTATATATGTAAATATGTATATATATGTATATGTATAAATGTATATATGTATATATGTATATCTGTATATATGTTTATATGTATATATGTATATATGTATATATATATGTATATGTAGGTACGTGCATACATGCATGCATGCATACGTATTGGTTTCGCTCTGTGGATACGCAGATGCACACAATATGTGTGCACACAGTGGTGGATACATTTCATAAAGTTGCCCTGTTCTTTTTTTGAGATGGCTTGGATTGTCTAAGATGAGAGGGTCTCCAGTTGCCGGGCCTGCCGCAAGGCGATGTTCAGCCTTGTCTCTGCCTACGGGAGAAGGTCTGCCGTGAGGAGGCAGGGACTCCGTCTGTTAGCAGGTGCTATTTGTAGCTGCAAAGGAATGATGAGAAAATGATGAAATGATCAACATGGTGAGCCTATTTAGATCTGATTATAGCCAAATGTCGCCAAACAAGAAGGCAAAAAACGCCTTGCCAGTCCCCAGCTGTTGTTGCTGTTTCGTTAGCCCTTTTGGGTCATTCCGTTCAGGGTTTTTCCTTGTAGTCTGGTCCCTCCAAAGTGGCCTTCTCCTCGAAATACTCACAGTATGCCTTGGCTTGCAAACGCAACCAGTTTGCTATGTGTCCCTTTCTATTGCTGTGACAAACACACACAAACCGAGGGACGACGTTGAAAGTTAAAAGCCAATTGCAGTAGTTCTATTTTGTTTCCAAGCAACATGACTGGTTGAGTTTCTCATCACCAAAGATGATTCTCAAAATCTTGCATTGTGACCGTTTGTAGACTTCAGGCTTCAGTTCACTTCACCGACCTTATTGTATGTTCTGAAAGCTATTCTTCGCAACTGCTCCCGAACGAAATACGGCCCTTTACCAGCCACAAACCGTTGCCCAGTCTATCGCTGTCTCCTGAAGGGCAGCAAATGTAAAGCAGAACTGCTGCACGCTTCCTTAACATTATATGTCGACTCTTATCGCACAGTCGCTAGCTTTTGACGCTTGTGAGAATAACCCCATGCGAACCTGTGCGCAGACGGTGGGCAAAGGATTGTTGGTTTTGAGGTTTCTGCTCGTACCTAGTAAAGATTGACTTCCATGGGTCAAGTCCTGGGGTGGAGAAGACAAATGCTGAGTTGCTGCACAGGCCGCACAAAGGCCAGAAATGGCCAGAATGCCCTGCGCTGACTCATCACATTTCTTCACGAGTCATTCTGTGGGCTGCAAAGGACAAAAGCTCTTGGCGCAGGAGCTACAGATGAGAAGCTCCATTTTCCGTTCTACCTATGGCACAATGTGGAACGCGTGCGGCTCCTTCATTGCACAGATGAAGGATGAAGAGCATCAAGAGCAAAACGCATTTGCCTCCAAGATAGCACTCTGGAAGTCACCAAGAGCTCATTGTCAATGTTGCCAAGACAAGGTTGCCTCTGCCCAACATACCCCAACCTTTCACTCTAGAACTTGAAGCGGCTTGGTTGAGAATTGTTTGCATTGGGCCAAAGGTTGCCTAATCCAGAGAACGCTCTAGTGAAGCCTAGAAACTTGGTCTCCGAGCCCTGACCAAGCGGTCAACGCAATCGTCAAATTCTATGAGAGATGACAGCACCCTCCGCGAATCTTCGGGAGAGACATTGTTCTTCATCACAGTTGCTCAGAATTCTCGCTGCAGAGTGCTGGTACCGCATGATATGTGGATGATCCAAGATGTGGCTGAATTTGCATCTCCAATGATGGACTCGCAGCTTTTTTGACCACGGCGTGTAGTCAATATAGTCAACTTCTTTATTCCCGAATGCGTAGCAAGGGTTCCAGCTTCACTCTGGGGGTCTGGGGGTTGAGGGTGTGTTCGCTCGACGTTGCGTTTGCGTTCGCAACCGTCCGCACCCGTCCGCGGGCGGTCGTTTGAGGCCCGTATGGCCGTGCCTATGGCGAGTTCTGCAAAAGGGGTCACTTTTGGCGGTTTCGAACGTCGTGTGCCCTCATTTCGCGTGGCAGGTGGCACTTTGTGACATTCCAACATGTTTCACAAGGCGTCGAAAGTCATTTTGTGTGACAGGTGCAATACACTTTGCGTCGTTTTCAGACGATGAGTTGCATGTTTCGTGGCAGGTGCAGCACTTTGGAGATCACCATCGTCATTTTGCGTGGATGTCGTGTTGCGCGATGTTGCGCGTCTTTCTGCGAATTGCAATGTCAGGGCTGCGTGAAGTAGTGACAACGTGCAAATTCCGTGGCAGGCCTGGCATTTTGTGAGATGTGATGAAAATTGACGGAAGCCTCGCACGAAACATCGATTTTGAGGTAGCAAATTTTGAGGTTCATGAGAAAACTCGTAGAAAAACATCGATTTTGAAGCTACAAAGTATGAAAATTGGAGGAAGTCTCGCACGAAACGCTCGTCTTGAGGCTCCAACATGTCTCGTCTCGATTCTCTGGTTTTCTTCTAGCGTCGCCGTGTCTATGGGGAAAACGGCAAAACCTTTCATTTTCGAATGTTTTGCGTGGCAGGCATGGCACTTCGTGATCTTCGTGAGATTGTCACGTGTCTGCAAACGTGTCGAAAGTCGCTTTGTGTACAGGGGCAATACTTCTGTGTCGTTTTCAGACGACGAGTTGCACTTTTCGTGGCAGGCGCAGCACTGGAGACCTCCACCGTCATTTTGCGTGGCAGGCGCAGCACTTTAGACGTGTCGCGTTGCGTGTTTTTTGCGAATGCCATTGTCAGTGCTGTGTCAAGTGGCGACAATGTGCAAAATCCGTGGCCTGCGTGGCATGTTGTGACATGTGATGACACTCCACACTCCACACTCTACACTTTACACTTTACACTCCACACTCCACACTTTACACTCTACACTTTACACTCCACACTCTACACTCCACACTCTACACTCCACACTCCACACTTTACACTCCACCCTCTACACTCCACACTCTACACTTTACACTTAACGTTGTGCTGTCGAATTGCGCTTGTTCTAGGATGTTTACATCTTGAAAAAAGGAGAAACATCGCAAAAAAATGGACTTGGAAAATGCAAATCTGAAAGAGGCACACATGACAATTGCAGAAAAAATGAGAAAGCAAAATGCAAGTTGAAAAGAGGCAAAAATTGCAAATAGAGGAAGAATAGAAAGAGTAAATGCAACTTGGAAGGGGGCACATTTGACAAATGAAGAATACAGGGAAGGAACCAGTGCAAGTTGGAAGGAGGCGACATGATATGTGGAGAATATAGACAGATAAAATGCAACCAGGGAAAAGGGAAAGTGCCAAATGCAGCACACATGGAAACAACAAATTAGCCTGGACAAGGTAGTGAAACCTGCGCAGAAGACAAAGGAAGCATTAAACTTGAAAAAGTAGGTCCGAGGTGAACCCGTGAAGCCGAAGAAGAACGCCGAATGTTGAGGCTCACGCCTGCCAAGTGGACAGGTGACCAGACGAAAGGGAAGGTCCCCGATCCGAATTGGGGACCTCCGAAACTGGATACTTTTTGAAAGAAATCGCAAAAAACTGGGGTAAAAAGCAAAGAATAAAAAAGCAAAAAAAAGCAACAAGGTAAAAACAAAAGCAAAACAAATGCAAAGAAAAAGCGAAACAAATGGGCCTCGGTAGGGTCATCCCCTGGGAAATGAGGCCCCACTTTCCCGAAAAGCAGCGTTTGGGACTTGGGCTGGGGGGCTGTGCCAACCACCAGCCCTATCCTGAAAATCTATGTGCCCATTCAAGTGTTGATGCAGGGACAGAAACCCAAACCGAACTGAAACTCATTCTTGCACAGATTGCATGTGAGGCAAATTCAAGAACCCGAATGCATGAAAACCAGGCAACCGAGACTGCATATCCTGCACGCCCCCTAAATGTGAATCAAGCGGGTGTCCAAAAGCATTTTCGGCAATTTGCGTTTTTGAACTTGCAGTTTTTTTGATTTATATTTGTTTTGCATTGCGTTTTTGCATTTGCATTTTTTGTGCATTTATGTTTTTTTTTGCAATTTCTTTCTGCAGTTGCTTTTTGTTTGCATTTTTAGGATGCATTTTTTTGCTTTACATGCTGCATTTTTTCAAGATTCAAAATCTCTAGGATAAGCCCACAAGGCGCCGACACAAACTTAATGCTTTGCACTTCACAATCCGCACTCCACACTCTACACTTCACACTTTACCCTCCTCGCTCCACACTCTACACTTTACACTCCATACTGTACACTCCACACTCTACACTCCACACTTCACATTTTATATTCGATATTTCACATTTTATATTTCTTATTTTATATTTCATACTTTATATTTATATTTATATTGTATACGTTACACTTTTCACTCTGCACTTTACACTCCACCTCCACACTCCACACTCTACACTCCACACTCTACACTTTACACTCCACACTCTACACTTTACACTCCACACTGAACACTCTACACTCCGCACTCTACACTCTACACTTTCCAAACTGCACTCTACACTTTACACTTTACACTCTACAATTTACACTCCACACTTAACACTCTACACTTTACCCTTTACACTCCACACTCTACACTTACACTCCACACTCCACACTTTGGACTTTTACCTTTACACTCTACACTTTACACTTTACACTTGCCACTCCACACTTTACACTTACACTGTCCACGCTACACTTCACACTTCACACTCCACACTCCACACCCTACATTCCACACTCCACACTTTACACTTTACACTCTACACTCCACACTCTACACTTTAGACTACACACTCCACACTTTACACTCCACCCTTTACACTCCACACTCTACACTCCACACTCCACACACTACACTTCACACTTTACCTCCACACTCCACACTTTATTCTCCAACCTCCACACTTGGCACTCCACCCTCTTTCGCATTCCACAGTCTACAGTGCACTGGTACGGTAAGGGGAAACATGTACAAGACTGTTCAAATAACTTGTGTCACGAGAGTTCTACGTGACTGCATTCGGGTTCGTGGGCTGCATCTCGTTTAAGTTTTCTTCAGCTGTTCCTTCCAAAGCTTGGTACATTGGTGCATTTTCTTTACCACCTTTGTTCCAAGCGCGCGACATCGGGTGACCTTAGACGACTCAACTGATACAATCCACAGCCATTCTTGTGGTTCTGTGAAGCATTGCTGTCACAATTAATCCTCCCACCGTTTCCCCGCAGGGTGGCTTTTGACCTGGAGAGGGTGTTGCGATTCAAACCTGGTGATTTCTTTGGATTGCCAGAGGACATCCACATTTCGGCAGCAAGCTTTTGACGAATGCGGACATGTTTCCTCAGAATGTGCAAGAGCCAACAATATTATTGTTATTTTTATTAGTATTATTATATTACATTTGACTATTTTGTTAGTTTGCACATTGTTATGATATGTTGTTGGCATGTCTTATATTCTTTACTTGCATTATGTTATACAATTTTATATTTTTATTACACTACACAACGTTATATTACATTGTATGTTGTTACATTACATGATATTATATTATACTATTTTATGTTACATTATTGTTTGTTATGCAATGTTAAATTATTTTTCATCCTGTACCATATTGTATATCGTAATGTAATGTTAGGTTCTATCACACTATGTTTTGTTGTATTATTATATTGTATTGTGTTGTAGTAAAATGTATCATATTATATTATATTATATTATACGATATTAAATTTTATTAAATTATATTTTATTATATATTATATATATTTTTAAAATATATTATCTGATGTTTTAATTTTATTGTTTTATAAATTTTATGTTATTCTATAATAGACTATGCTATATCATATCTTATGATATTATATAATACATTAAATTGAATTATATTATATTATCTTATGTTATATTGTACTATATATATATTATTATTATTTAATATTTCAAACCATATCATATCATATTTTGTCATCATATATTTTATTTTTTGATATTATATTATATTCTACTACATTCTTTTTCATTAAGATATTCATAGTATACCATGTTTTGTATTGTTTTGATTTTGCTTTAGTATACTGTATATGTTTCACTAGCCACTACTGTATATGATTATCTATCATGTGATTGCATCGTTTCTGTTTACTGTAGATTTTAAAATATGAGATATCATATAATGTATACAATGTCTAACATCATATATCCTATTCATTTTATATACTATGGAGCCTGCCTGTTGCAATGTGTTACACATATCATATATTATCTATAGTCTATATTCAGTATGTATATATTTTGCATATTATATAGTATGTATACGCTCCACTATTTTGTTTATATTATAAACTACATTTTTGTTGCAATTTTAGGGTACGTGCTTGTTATATGTTATTAATATTAAAAACATACACATGTTATATGTTATTAATATTAAAAACATACACATGTCATGTGCATTGGGAATTGTATTGCACGAATCTCCAGTGCACACCTATCAGATCTATCAGTGCATATGTGAATTATTTTGACATGCTGGATTTCGCAAGAAATCGCAATTCAATTGTATTTTGCATTGCAACTGGTTTCAGTAGACATTGGAAGTTGTGAGCTGCATCGTCTGTGTGAAACTGTGCTCAGGAGACAACTGGTGTAAGTGGCCGTAGGGGTCTGGACCCGGAGCAAGCTGAGGCGCTGCATAGCCATTGTCGATATTTAGATATTTGTCGATGTACTGCAATTGCTGCATTGACTTGCTGTGACAGTGAATCTTGACAGCATGGGCTCTTCGCCATGGTCTAAACTTACGATTCAGGAGTTGATGTCGGGCATCCTTACCCTGCTCAAGACTCGGCAATTCCAGGATCGCCAAATTTCCAAACGCACTGTCCATGCCGGAACGAAATGTGGCTCTTTGGATCTATTCAGTCACTTGAAAAACACCAGGAGAACTTGGATGCAATTAGCCACTTGCCAGACGGAAGCCGCCGACAAGGTACTGCCCTCACCATTTCAGCCTGGAGGCAGTCGATCCTCTTTATGAAACCAAAGGGTGATCGCATTTTGTTGATATTCATATTTTGTTTCAAGTGGTTTTCCAGCTCTGTTTTGTTGCTTCTGTTCTTCCCAATGGATCCCTATAATGTTTACCCCGGATTAATAAACCCCCCCCCCCTATAGGTCAACTAGGTCAACAAGGTCCAGTGAGGAGGTCCAAAAACCGAACCCCCCAAATAATGTGACCATTCATTCATCCATAAACGATTATTATAAGATTCCTATGGGAAAAGATTGGAAAACCTATGGTAAACAATCAAATTCCTATGGGGAAACATTAGAAAATTAATGATAAACCATCAGATTCCTATGAGAAAAGGTAAGAAAACCTATGGTAAACCATCAGATCCCTATGGGTTTCTCATAGGAATCTGATGGTTTATCATAGGTTTTCTTACCTTTTCTCATAGAAATCTGATGGTTTATCATAGGTTTTCTCATCTTTTCTCATAGGAATCTGATGGTTTATCATAGGTTTTCTCATCTTTTCTCATAGGAATCTGATGGTTTATCATAGGTTTCTCATCTTTTCTCATAGGAATCTGATGGTTTATCATAGGTTTTCTCATCTTTTCTCATAGGAATCTGATGGTTTATCATAGGTTTTCTCATCTTTTCTCATAGGAATCTGATGGTTTATCATAGGTTTTCTCATCTTTTCTCATAGGAATCTGATGGTTTATCATAGGTTTTCTCATCTTTTCTCATAGGAATCTGATGGTTTATCATAGGTTTTCTCATCTTTTCTCATAGGAATCTGATGGTTTATCATAGGTTTTCTCATCTTTTCTCATAGGAATCTGATGGTTTATCATAGGTTTTCTCATCTTTTCCCATAGGAATCTTATGGTTTATCATAGGTTTTCTCATCTTTTCTCATAGGAATCTGATGGTTTATCATAGGTTTTCTCATCTTTTCTCATAGGAATCTGATGGTTTATCATAGGTTTTCTCATCTTTTCTCATAGGAATCTGATGGTTTATCATAGGTTTTCTCATCTTTTCTCATAGGAATCTGATGGTTTATCATAGGTTTTCTCATCTTTTCTCATAGGAATCTGATGGTTTATTACCATAGGTTTTCTCATCTTTTCTCATAGGAATCTGATGGTTTATCATAGGTTTTCTCATCTTTTCTCATAGGAATCTGATGGTTTATCATAGGTTTTCTCATCTTTTCTCATAGGAATCTGATGGTTTATCATAGGTTTTCTCATCTTTTCTCATAGGAATCTGATGGTTTATCATAGGTTTTCTCATCTTTTCTCATAGGAATCTGATGGTTTATCATAGGTTTTCTCATCTTTTCTCATAGGAATCTGATGGTTTATCATAGGTTTATCCAGCTCACGAAAGGCTCTTGCAACGATAAAAAGTCAACTTTTCCCATCATCATGAGCCAAAAAACCTTTGAAACCAGTGTGTTTGGCAATAGTGCGGCTTCGACCTACTGAAAGCACAGCTCTTGCAATGAAAGAGGGCCACCTCTTCCCAACATGATGAGCCAACCCACAAAAAACCTCTGAAACCAGTGTGTTTGGCAATAGCGTGGCTTCGACCTAATGAAAGCACAGTTCTTGCAATGAAAGAGAGTCACCTCTTCCCAACATGATGAGCCAACCCACAAAAAACCTCTGAAACCAGTGTGTTTGGCATTAGCGCGGCTTCGACCTAATGAAAGCACAGCTCTTGCAATGAAAGAGAGTCACCTCTTCCCAACATGATGAGCCAACCCACAAAAAACCTCTGAAACCAGTGTGCTGGCAATAGTGCGGCTTCGACGTACGGAAAGCACAACTCTGGCAATGAAAGAAAGCCACCGTGAAGTAATTAGAGGCAATGTCCAGAAGCAGGCAAAGGTAGCTAACATAACAGCAAGACATTGGCAGAGAAAGACGCACAACACACAAGCATTCAAGCCAGCTGTGTGCCACCCCCGGGCTGCAAGACGCACCCTCCGGGAATCTAAGCCGCTGTGTGCCACCCCCGGGCTGCAAGACGCACCCTCCGGGAATCTAAGCCGCTGTGTGCCACCCCCGGGCTGCAAGACGCACCCTCCGGGAATCGAACCTGGGTCCATCGGCCCAAAGCCTATTCAATACCACTATGCCATGGGGGCTTGCCCTAAATGGCAAAAAATGGCTTTATAGAACCACTGACTGGGCCTGGAAGGGGTTTGCCGGAATCAAAAACACAATGCGCAACACCCCCCTAACCCCCCAACCAAACCCGCAGCCAAACCCCCAAACAACCCCCCCAATTAATAAACCCCCCCAAATAACCCTCCCCAACCCTTTGGTAGTGGCCTCCAGCTCACGAAGGCTCTTGCAACGATAAAAAGTCACTTTTTCCCATCATCATGATACAAAAAACATCTGAAACCAAGGTGTTTGGCAATAGTGCGGCTTCAACCTACTGAAAGCGCAGCTTTTGCAATGAAAGAGAGACACCGCTTCCCAACATGATGAGCCAACCCACAAAAAACCTCTGAAACCAGTGTGTTTGGCAATAGCGTGGCTTCGACCTAATGAAAGCACAGCTATTGCAATGAAAGAAAGCCACCTCTTCCCAACATGATGAGCCAACCCACAAAAAACCTCTGAAACCAGTGTGTTTGGCAATAGCGCGGCTTCGATACTGAAAGCACAGCTCTTGCAATGACAGAGGGCCACCTCTTCCCAACATGATGAGCCAACCCACAAAAAACCTCTGAAACCAGTGTGTTTGGCAATAGTGCGGCTTCGACCTACTGAAAGCACAGCCCTTGCACTGATAGAGGGTGCCTTCTATCAAATTACGTCGTCGTTGTAGTAGTTGTAGTTGTAGTTGTAGTTATAGTTGTAGTAGTAGTAGTAGTAGTAGTAGCAGCAGTAGTAGTAGTAGCAGTAGTAGTAGTTGTTGTAGTACTTTGTAATACTTTGTAGTATTAGTAGTAATTATTAGTAGTTTTAGTAGTATGAGTAGTATGAGTAGTATTAGTAGTATTAGTAGTATTAGTAGTAGTAGAAGAGGAAGAAGTAGCAGTAGTAGCAGTAGTAGCAGAAAAACTAGCAGCAGCAGTAGTGATAGTGGTAGTAGTAGCAGTAGTAGTAGTAGTAGCAGTAGTATTAGCAGTAGTATTAGCAGCAGTAGTAGTAGCAGTAGTAAAAAGTGCCACATTGGAAAAACATATTTGCGAAGTGGATGAGGAAAGATCAGGCAATGTTGATATATGTAGTTGTTGAACTAATTCATTGCTTAATTGATTGCAGTCTGAAGCACGCATATAAAAAACTCATCGCGGCTGGCTGGGGTTTACTAATTGGGGGGGGCGTCCTTTTATTTGTGGGGGGGACACCGCTCAAGGGTGGTAGCCTTTCTGAGCTCCCAGAAACAGCATTTTTTAATTAGATTTTAATTAGAAATCGATCATTTGGGGATGCGTTTTTTTTTCCAGTTTTGGCGTCTTGAAACTGGCACATTGCAAAAGTATATTATACTTGCGAGGTGGATGAGGAAACATCAGGCAATGTTGATATAGTTGTTGAACTAATTCATTGCTGAATTGATTGCAGTCTGAAGCACGCATATAAAAAAGTCATCGCGGCTGGCTGGGGTTTACTAATTGGGGGGGGCGTCCTTTTATTTGTGGGGGGGACACCGCTCAAGGGGGGTAGCCTTTCTGAGCTCCCAAAAACAGCATTTTTTAATTAATTTTAATTAGAAATCGATCATTTGGGGGATGCGTTTTTTTTTCTCCAGTTTTGGCGTCTTGAAATTGCCACATTGCAAAAATATATTTGCGAGGTGGATGAGGAAAGATCAGGCAATGTTGATGTAGTTGTTGAATCAATTCATTGCTTAATTGATTGCAATCTGAAGCACGCATATTAAAAAGTCATCGCGGCTGGCTGGGGTTTACTAATTCGGGGGGGCGTCCTTTTATTTGTGGGGGGGACACCGCTCAAGGGGGGTAGCCTTTCTGAGCTCCCAAAAACAGCATTTTTTAATTAAATTTTAATTAGAAATCGATCATTTGGGGGATGCGTTTTTTTTCCAGTTTTGGCGTCTTGAAACTGGCACATTGCAAAAGTATATTATACTTGCGAGGTGGATGAGGAAAGATCAGGCAATGTTGATATAGTTGTTGAACTAATTCATTGCTGAATTGATTGCAGTCTGAAGCACGCATATAAAAAAGTCATCGCGGCTGGCTGGGGTTTACTAATTGGGGGGGCGTCCTTTTATTTGTGGGGGGGACACCGCTCAAGGGGGGTAGCCTTTCTGAGCTCCCAAAAACAGCATTTTTTAATTAGATTTTAATTAGAAATCGATCATTTGGGGGATGCGTTTTTTTTTCCAGTTTTGGCGTCTTGAAATTGCCACATTGCAAAAATATATTTGCGAGGTGGATGAGGAAAGATCAGGCAATGTTGATGTAGTTGTTGAATCAATTCATTGCTTAATTGATTGCAATCTGAAGCACGCATACAAAAAAATTCATCGCGGCTGGCTGGGGTTTACTAATTGGGGGGGGCGTCCTTTTATTTGTGGGGGGGACACCGCTCAAGGGGGGTAGCCTTTCTGAGCTCCAGCATTTTTTAATTAAATTTTAATTAGAAATCGATCATTTGGGGGATGTGTTTTTTTTCCAGTTTTGGCGTCTTGAAACTGCCACATTGCAAACGTATATTATACTTGCGAGGTGGATGAGGAAAGATCAGGCAATGTTGATATAGTTGTTGAACTAATTCATTGCTTAATTGATTGCAGTCTGAAGCACGCATATAAAAAACTCATCGCGGCTGGCTGGGGTTTACTAATTGGGGGGGGCGTCCTTTTACTTGTGGGGGGACACCGCTCAAGGGGGGTAGCCTTTCTGAGCTCCCAAAAACAGCATTTTTTAATTAAATTTTAATTAGAAATCGATCATTTGGGGGATGTTTTTTTTTTCCAGTTTTGGCGTCTTGAAACTGGCACATTGCAAAAGTATATTATACTTGCGAGGTGGATGAGGAAAGATCAGGCAATGTTGATGTAGTTGTTGAATAATTAATTGCCCAATTGATGGCAGCTTCACAAAAAACATCTGAAACCAGTCTGTTTGGCAATAGTGCGGCTCGACCTACTGAAAGCACAGCTCTTGCAATGAAAGAGAGTCACCTCTTCCCAGCATGATGAGCCAACCCACAAGAAACCTCTGAAACCAGTGTGTTTGGCACTAGCGCGGCTTCGACCTAATGAAAGCACAGCTCTTGCAATGAAAGAGAGTCACCTCTTCCCAACGTGATGACCCAACGCACAAAAAAACCTCTGAAACCAGTGTGTTTGGCATTGGCGCGGCTTCGACCTAATGAAAGCACAGCTCTTGCAATGAAAGAGAGTCACCTCTTCCCAACATGATGAGCCAACCCACAAAAAACCTCTGAAACCAGTGTGCTGGCAATAGTGCGGCTTCGACGTACGGAAAGCACAGCTTTTGCAATGAAAGAAAGCCACTGGAAGTAATTAGAGGCAATGTCCAGAAGCAGGCAAAGGTAGCTAACATAACAGCAAGACATTGGCAGAGAAAGACGCACAACACACAAGCATTCAAGCCAGCTGTGTGCCACCCCCGGGCTGCAAGACGCACCCTCCGGGAATCTAAGCCGCTGTGTGCCACCCCCCGGGCTGCAAGACGCACCCTCCGGGAATCGAACCTGGGTCCATTGGCCCAAAGCCTATTCAATACCACTATGCCATGGGGGCTTGCCCTAAATGGCAAAAAATTGCTTTATAGAACCACTGACTGGGCCTGGAAGGGGTTTGCCGGAATCAAAAACACAATGCGCAACACCCCCCTAACCCCCCAACCAAACCCGCAGCCAAACCCCCAAACAACCCCCCCAATTAATAAAACCCCCCCAAATAACCCTCCCCAACCCTTTGGTAGTCGCCTCCAGCTCACGAAAGGCTCTTGCAACGATAAAAAGTCAACTTTTCCCATCATCATGAGCCAAAAAACATCTGAAACCAGTGTGTTTGGCACTAGCGCGGCTTCGACCTAATGAAAGCACAGCTCTTGCAATGAAAGAGAGTCACCTCTTCCCAACATGACGAGCCAACCCACAAAAAACCTCTGAAACCAGTGTGTTTGGCAATAGCGCGGCTTCGACCTAATGAAAGGACAGCTCTTGCAATGAAAGAGAGTCACCTCTTCCCAACGTGATGAGCCAACCCACAAAAAACCTCTGAAACCAGTGTGTTTGGCAATAGTGCGGCTTCGACCCCCTGAAAGCACAGCCCTTGCACTGATAGAGGGTGCCTTCAAGATGCCCTCTTTTTTTTGGGTTGTGGCTTATCCGGATCCACTTGTATATGTGCATATCAAATTACGTCGTCGTCGTCGTAGAAGTAGTAGCCGTAGTAGCAGTAGCAGCAGCAGCAGTAGCAGTAGCAGTAGCAGTAGCAGTAGTAGTAGTAGTAGTAGTAATAGTAGTAGTAGTAGTAGCAGTAGTAACAGCAGTAGAAGAAGCAGCAGCAGCAGGAGGAGGAGTAGTAGCAGTAGTAGTAGTAGTAGTAGCAGTAGTACAAAAAGTGCCACGTTGCAAGAGCATACTTGCGAGGTGGATGAGGAAAGATCAGATTCCTATGAGAAAAGATAAGCAAACCTATGGTAAACCATCAGATTCCTATGAGGGAAGATTCGAAAATGAATGGTAAACCATGAGATTCCTATGAGAAAAGATGAGAAAACCTATGGTAAACCATCAGATTCCTATGAGAAAAGATGAGAAAACCTATGGTTAACCATCAAAATCCTTTGAGGGAAGATGAGGAAACCACGTAGAAACCATCAAATTCCTATGAGGGAAGATTCGAAAATGAATGGTAAACCATGAGATTCCTATGAGAAAAGATAAGAAAACCTAGGGTAAACCATAAAATTCCAATGAGACATGATCAGAAAACTTCTGGTAAACAATCAAATTCCTATGAGGGAAGATGAGGAAACCACGTAGAAACCATCAAATTCCTATGAGGAAACATTCGAAAATTAATGGTAAACCATACAAAAATCCAATGAGACATGATCAGAAAACCTTTGGTAAACCATCAAATTCCTTTGAGGGAAGATGAGGAAACCACGTAGAAACCATCAAATTCCTATGAGGGAAGATTCGAAAATGAATGGTAAACCATGAGATTCCTATGAGAAAAGATAAGAAAACCTAGGGTAAACCATAAAATTCCAATGAGACATGATCAGAAAACCTCTGGTAAACCATCAAATTCCTTTGAGGGAAGATGAGGAAACCACGTAGAAACCATCAAATTCCTATGAGGGAAGATTCGAAAATGAATGGTAAACCATCAGATTCCAGTGAGAAAAGATAAGAATACCTATGGTAAACCAAAATAGGAAGTAACCCTGGAAATTGTAATCCGAATTAAAAAGTAAAAGGGAGTAATAGCAAATTAGTCCCACCAAAAAAATGGGGATCCCAGAGGGGATTCGCTAATTAGGGGGTACATATCTATTATTAGGGGGGGAAATCAGCACGTAGAGGACTTTAGTATTGCCCCAAAATTTTCGGAGGGACGGGGATTCGCTAATTCGGGGGGTTTATTAATCCTGACTATACATTATAATTAATACTTATATATTTATATAAGTATGTATATTAATATTACTATATAATATATAATAAATACACTATTATACTATATTATACTATTAATATTATACAATATATACACACTATTAAATACTATATAATATATAATAAAGTACAATATAAGATAATATAATATAAAATATAATATATAATATCATATAATATTATATAATATAATATGATAATATAATATGATAATATAATATGATATAGTATAATATTATATTTAATTTTGCCCAGTTCCGTTGTAGGTCACGGATGTCTCTGAGACCTGCAGTGCTACAGTACACCCTGCAGATGTCTCTCGTTCCCATCCGCAGAAGATCTTGAGCCGAGCTAGCAGTGTTGCCACTGCTAACTGGTCCATGTCAGCTGATGCTGCTGTGGCGTTCTGCGCTCGGCTAGCAGTCTCCGAAAGGTGCCCATTTCATTAGTTGATCTTTATGGCTATAAATGGGCTTATCAATCCATACAAATGTGATTATTTCACTGACTTGTAGCTGGTAAACGGCCATAACTGCAATGTTATAATGATTTGCTGAACACTTAAAGCGTGCCTCCAAGTGCTTGATCAAACGAAGTGGCGGATGTCTCTGGGGCACGCCAGTTGACCATTGGCACAATGTCTCTCGTTCCCATCCGCAGAACGAATCTAGGGCAATAGCTGCCGTGAGGTAGCGAATTTCTCCACCTGAGCCCCTTAATGCTCCTGTGGCCTTTGGTATTGCTCTTGGTGCAGTCCGAAAACACGACACACATCGAGCTACAAGGTGGCACCCCATAGTGAGCTAAGTATGTCTGCAAGTTGTTTTGTAGATTAACTCTATTAGCTATATAGGCTTTGTGGATGTTTACGTTGGATACATCATGATGCTAAAGGCAATGAGGTTTTCACATCAAGCAACAAACATCTACTGGAAATCACCCTGCAACGGATTAGCTGCGTAGCTTCAGGGCCCTATCTACCGCCGCGTGACGGGGAAAGAGCCCGGTTCGAGTCGAAAGATTGGCCGGGGCACTCAACGGGAAGCCGAACCGCCGATGGTGTCGATATGTGTCGATGTCACTAATCCGAAAGTCAAGGGATCATATGGGGTTTTCCTTTAGGACGAGGCTACGTACCCCAGTTTTCATCCAGTCGTCAAGAAAAAGACCATCAGTATTTTCCAGCCACCACTGGGGATCCCCATAATATAACTGTACATTAACCATATTATGGGTATGGGTCAATACCTATATACATACCATTTTTAGGGGGATGAACATCCATTTTAACCCAGCTATGACTTGGGGTTCACGGCACGGTACCAGGGTTTTGACCCATTAACCATTAAGGAAAGATTAGCGTAATGGGACGGAGGGCCATGCACCTTTTTTCGAAGTTTCCTCGGGCGTATTGTCTGAGAATTAGCGTTAAGTCGACATCCTCGAAATCCCAACTTCATCATATTTCGGATGGGGTCCCCCGTGGGCCCAGTGATGTGAACGTTGGTTTATAATGAGAAAACCACCATTAGTTCGTTATATCTACCATAAACCATAGAATTCAGCCACTTACAAGGCAACTGAACGCTATCCTGGGGGCCCCATCATGCCCCTTCCTGGAGTTAATCATCATGTTCAGTCATTTTCCCTATTTAATCTAGATTAACCTACACTCCATTTTCAGACACAGGCAATCACAGCCGTCACCTGTGACATAACGGAAAGATCTAAGGGCTGGAGGATGAGGAAGATGGTGATGACGAAGAAGCGAGTGATGAAGAGGACTGAAGCCATAGTAGCAGTGTTCAAGACCCTGATCTTGATTGGTTTGAGGCCTAGACGGTTCGACCATCATTTTTTATCATGTTCTTTGGATTAATCATAGGATTAATCATATGATATGATTCATCCACTATGGGAATACATGGGAATACCATTCTAAATGAACCAGTATTTCAAGGAATGACAGAGGTTCTTGAACACAAACAAAAGCTGGTCCAGTTCCGCAAGATGGAACTGATTGATCGGTGCAGTGACATGGCAGAAACATATTCATGCAATGTGGGGACCCCAAGATAGCTAAGTTGGTGCCAATAACTCCAATAACTGTGGTTTATTGTAGATATATTAATATAGTTTTCATGGAATTTATAAATCAACTTATAACTAGGGGGCCCCACATTGTGTGGGTAAAACAATGCCATAAACCATGCCCCAAATCGCAATGTTTTGGTGGTATGGTTACCATTCCCAGTCATGGGTGGTAAAAATGACATTGTTATACCCACATGAGTCACTATAAAGATCACCATTAATCACTATCAATTCACTATCAATTCACTCTTGGTAATTGATGGTAATACCCACATTTTACCCACATTGATTTGATTTACCATAACCATCATCACCATAATCAACCATGAGTCACCATTGCTGATCCACCAGAAAAACCATTGTTGTACCCACAAAAAACACCTCGTTGCGCTGTGACCTTTTGCCGAGAAAGCCGATCACGGCACCGAAGAAGTAGATTCGTTCAGAGGATCGAAAAAGCCAAAGGCTTTTCTAAGGGAACCAGCCATATCCAGTTTCATGTTTCTTCACATTTCTTGAATCTCAGGGAGTTGCCCGGACTTTCAACCGAAGTCAATTGGCACTAGCTGACAAAAAAGAGGTTCTAAAACTAAGAAACCAATTTAGAATTGAGTACATTTCTATCATTCTACATTTTTAAGTCCATGTTTGATGTGAAACCATCTACCGCTTGAAACACATCTTAGCCATTCTCAGCCCGTAATTGGGATTTTACAGCGACCTTGGAACACTTTTTCATGGGTGCGGCTGAAACTGGGCTTTGGGTCAGTGATCAAATCCAAATCAACTCCGGGTTAGACAATAGGTTTTGGATAAATTACCATCTGGTTATTTAACATAGCCATGGAAAATCACCATGCTATTAAGAGGTAAACCATCTATTTCTATGGGTCATCTATACCATGGCTATGTTAGTCATAACCAGAGGGTAAGTATAGTGACCTCACGTCGTTTTAACCGTCACTGGAATGGTGGGTAAAAAAAAGATTCGGGGAATCATCCCTTAAAATGACCAATTTATTCAGCCATTTTCAGGTGAGTTAAGCCATTATTCAGCCAGATGGCTTCGAGACGCAGTTGTAATCACCATCAACTTCTACGCCCCGAAAAATTTTTGTTTCGCATTTCCTGGCAAGGGCCATAAGTTGAAGTGGTGCTATTCATCACATCAACGGTGGGTTCCAGCAAAGCGCCTTCCTGTGTTCGCGAACGTTTCACAGATCCCACGAGTCGCATCGTCTCGAAAAAGGGCCGGCGAGCGGAAGGTCGTGGTCCGAGGCAAAATGGATATCTTGCCTCCTCGGCCATTAAATCATAGAGCCTGAATGGTGAAACATGGGATTTCCATGGATTTCCTGAGTTTTTGTTGAGTTGTTCCATCATTTTCAGACCAAGAAACGAGTATCACACCAGTACCTTTGTGCAGCCTAGAGTACCTTTGTGCAGCCTAGCCTAGCCTAGATCTATAGTTAACTCCTGTTCTGCAACCGATTCATTGTGCGTAAATTGAGGTCGTTGAAGATCAATAGCAGGTTGGTTCACAATGGTTTATAAATCCCATTCACTAATTCGATATATCTGCCATAAACCCAGCAGTTCGCCTAATTATGTTCCCCAACTTAGTTTGGGGGCCCACCTTGTATCTATCGCTGTGACGCTGCTTGAGAAGTAGCCGCCAAAAAGACAGAAATGTCGATTGCCAAGTTACCCACAATCTTAGTATGAGTTTGCTTTCTATGTCTTTGGAAGTTGCTACATTACATCTTGGGTGGATAACTGGATAACCGTTTGTAGTGCTTCACAGATCGACCAGTGGACTTTAATCTTGATATCCCTTTCCTGCAGGATTTTTAAGCATCAGCTATCATCGCGACATTTTGTGTTTGCCAAAGTACTGTAAGCCCTCAAGCTCAAACCTTCCAAACTTGCACCAGTCTTCATTTCATGTGGATAAGGGTCAACATGTCCTCTGAACTGCACTTTCAACAAATTGGGTGCGTTGTTCCAAAAAAAATGGTGCTGACATGTGCTGACACTAGCTATCATTGGGATATTCTGTATACCTCGGAAATGGATATGTTGAACATATTTCAAAATACATGTTTCATAGTAAACAAAATGATACACATCACACTAAATACCCTCTGGGAATTTAACGTAGCTATTGAAAATGGCCTTTTATAGTGAGTTTTCCCATGAAAAATGGTGATTTCCCATAGTTTTTTGTATGTTTACCAGAGGGCATATAATAGGGCACCCAAAAATCCCATGGTCAAACTATGTAAAATCCGCATCCGCAGGCGAAGACAAAACACCGCGGTCGCAGGGATTGTTGGAGAACTTTGATGCAGTGGGTTGGTTTGATCTAAACTGCTAAACCTATACAGATATATATGGTCTGTCATAAAGAGTTTACCATGGTTTTGTCAACTCTGGAATCAGATGTTTTCAGTTCAGAGTTCGGAAAGTTGAGTCCATAAGATGGAGACAAATTGTATTCCCATATCATCTATATCTCTACAATGTGAGGCCCCCAAGATAGCTAAGTTGGTTTATAACTCCAATAACTATAGTTATAAGTACCATAAACCATAGTGAAATTGGAGTTATTGGCACCAACTGAACGCGATTTCGTGGCCGGGGGCCCCACTAACTGTATCTCTATGTGATATCTCTATGATATCCCAGTTCTCCCAAGCGCTTCGGTCAGGGAAATCCAGAAAAAAAACCTGGTGTATTGGATCATGAAAAACGGGTGTCCCAACATTGGAGGCGTGGATTGTAAATGTCCCATGGCTTGGGGATTTGTTTCACATCACTAAAACTTAAGTATCTGTTGGAGATTAAATCCCCGAAAAAAATTGGGTGATGTGAACAATTAGGACATCTCTTCCAACCCCTGTTAAACAGGAGGCGTTTGATGTTTTGAATTGGCTAATTGGAATATCGATACATTTCCGATACATATGATGTATCCATATTAGTATCCTCAGTTGATGAAAAACAAGTTTCTTGGCCACATGTTTGATGGTGCCGCGTTAAGCCCTCTATGCATGTTAGCTGGATGAATTACAATGACCTTGGACTCATTCTCCACCGGCCTTTCAGCGCTTTCCAGGTGAGTGAATTCTTGCAATTCAGCCAGATATTTTGAAGATTTCCAACGTATTCCAACTATAGTTATAGTATTATAATGTATTATAGTTATATGGGTGATATTCCCATGAACATATTCCTATATTAGCCATTATTAGCCTATATATATATAATTATAATATATATATAATATATATATATATATACATACCAAGACCTTCCAAGGGGCTACGTTTTGGAACCCCTATCGAGTGTTCTTTAAGGGGCTACGTTTCGACACCCCTTAGCCGAACCAAAAAAACACAACAGGATATGGTGATAACGATGTTGATAGCCATTACGGCACCCCTTGGCATGTGCTGGTATATATATATAATTATATATATATATCATATGTTCCCTTGGTATTGTCTTCCTGTTGCAGATGCTATGGTAACCGAGTGCCGGCAGGATGCTCCCAGTGAGCTTGAGAAGAGGTGTCTCACCAGGTGCGGTGCAGTGCACGGAGGCTTTTCCATGGTACCCCAAATGGAGGCTTTATGGAAAAGCCCATTGAAATGGAAAAAAACTGGGTCCCCATGGAAAATGGAAACCTTCGAATATGATTGTTTTTGCAAAACCACCAATGAAATCCAATGAACTTTTGAGGTGTTTTTGTTGTTTACGTGTTCTCATGTTGTTTATTCCATCCGTATTAATTTCTGGGATGATTTTTGATGCCAGTGAGAAACAGATTTGAGGGATTTTGAGGGATTTGTGGTTCCACCGCAACGGCTCTCTCCAGTTGAAACTTGACGGAAACGTCCATCAAGCTGGTGGCAACACAAGCTGTCTTTCCGTTTTTTCCCGAATGAGTGGAAAGTGTAGAGTGTAGTGTAAAGTGTGGAGTGTGGAGTGTAAAGTCTCAGGTGAGGAGTGAGGAGTGTAAAGTGCAAAGTGTAAAGTGTGGAGTGTAAAGTGTAGAGTGTGCAGTCTAAAGTGTAAATTGTGGAGTGTAAAGTGTAGAGTGTGGAGTGCGGAGCTTCCCCCATAGACACGGCGACGCCACAGGAAAACCAGAGACTCGAGACGAGACACGTGGGTGCAGAAAAACGAGCATTTCGTGCGAGACTTCCTCCAATTTTGACATTTTCCATACGTTATCAAACAGGTTGGAATGTCACAAAGTGCCACGCCTGCCACGCAAAACGACATGACAACTTGCTTGGACACATTCGAATAGGAGAGGTTTTGCAGCTTCCCCCATAGACACGGCGACGCCACAGGAAAACCAGCGACTCGAGACAAGACACGTGGATTTAGAAAAACCAGCATTTCTTACGAGACTTCCTCCAATTTTGACATTTTCGACACGTTATCAAACACGTTGGAATGTCACAAAGTGCCACGCCTGCCACGCAAAACGACATGACAAGCTGCTTGGAAACCTTCGAAAAGGAGAGGTTTTGCGGCTTCCCCCATAGACACGGCGACCAGAGACTCGAGACAAGACACGTGGATGCAGAAAAATCAGCATTTCGTACGAGACTTCCTCCAATTTTCATAGTTTGAAACATGCCGCAAGAACATGTTTTCCAGCTTCCCCCATAGACACGGCGAGGCCACCGGAAAACCAGAGACGCGAGACACGACACATGGGAGCGCCAAAACGAGCATTTCGTGTGAGTCTTCCTCCAATTTTGACACTTTGCAGCTTCAAAATCGACGGTTTCCTACGAGTTTTCCTTAGAACGTGAAAATTGGCAACCCCAAAATCGATGTTTCGTGCGAGGCTTCCGTCCATTTTCAACGCATCGCAGAAAATGCCACGCCTGCCACGGAATTTGCACCTTGTCGCCACTTGACGCAGCCCTGCCAATGCGATTTGCAAAAAACACGCAACATGACACGTCTAAAGTGCTGCGCCTGCCACGAAAAATGACGATAGACACGTCCAAAGTGCTGCGCCTGCCACGAAAACTGCAACACATCTTCTGAAAACGTCGCAAAAGTATTGCGCCTGCCACGCAAAACGACTTTCGACACGTTCCAAAAAAAGTCTGAATGTCACGAAGTGCCACGCCTGCCACGCGAAACGAAGCAACGACACGTCTGAAACCTCCAAAAATGACCACCTCTGCAGAACTTCCCATAGGCACGGCCATACGGGGATCGCGCGGACGGTTGCGGACGGTTGCGGACGGTTGCGAACGGTTGCGACCACAAACGCAACGTCGAGCGAACACACCCTCAACCCCCACAGACCCCCAGAGTGAAACGGGAACCCTTCGCTCCTCACTCTACACTTTACACTCCACACTCTACACTTTACACTCCACACTCCACACTTTACACTACACACTCCTTACTTTACACTCCACACTTCACACTCCACACTTTCCACTCCACACTCCACACTTTACACTCCACACGCCACACTTTACACTACTCACTCCACACTTTACACTCGTCGCTTTACACTCTACACTCCGCACTCTACACTTTACACTCTACACTGACTTTACACTCTACATCACACTCCTTATTCTACACTTTACACTAAACTCCACGCTTTACATTTCACACTCCACACTCCACACTTTACACACCACACTTTACACTCCACACTCCACACTTTACACTCCTCACTCCACACTCCACACTTTACACTTCACACTCCACACTTTACACTCCTCACTCCACACTCTACACTTTACACTCCACACTCCACACTCTACACTCCTCACTCCACACTCCACACTCCACACTTTACACTCCACACTCCACACTCTACACTTTACACTCCACACTCCACACTCTACACTCCTCACTCCACACTTTACACTCCACACTTTACACTCCACACTCTACACTTTACACTCCACACTTTACACTCCACACTCAACACTCTACACTTTACACTCTACACTAAACACTCTACACTCCACACTTTACACTTTACACTCCACGCTTTCCACTTTGCACTCCTCACTCCACACTACACTCCACACTTTACACTCCACACCCCACACATCTCCACACTCTACACTTTACACTCCACACTCCACACTCTACACTCCACACTTTACACTCCACACTCCACACTCTACACACCACACTCTACACTTTACACTCCACACTCCACACTCTATACACCACACTCTACACTTTCCACTCCACACTCCACACGCTACACTCTACACTCCACACTCTACACTTTACACTCTACACTTCACACTCTACAATTTACAAACTCCACACTCCTCACTCCACACTTTACACTCCTCACTTTACACTCCACACTCCTCACTCCACACTTTACACTCCTCACTCCACACTTTGCACTTTACACTCCTCACTCCACACTCTACACTCCACACTCTACACTTCACACTCCATACTCCATACTCTACACTTTACACTCCGCATTCTACACTTTACACACTCTACACTCCCCACTCTACACTTTACACTCCACACTGCAGACTGGTAACAAGGGAACATGTACAAGACTTTTCAAATAAACTATTGCAGAAAGGTATTGTGCGTGAGTGCATAACCATGTGTATTGACATCTGTACCATTAACATACGTGTGAGCATTCGGGTTCGTGGGCTTCATCTTGTTTTTCTCCCGTACATCAATCCATGAAAGGCCGTATATCATCATTACATCGGGATATTTCATGATATTGTAGTAGCCAAAGAAATCCATAGAACTCCAAAGAATAAGTGGGAAATATATGGGTATGGATTAATACCTATTAATACCATTTTTAGGGGGATGAACATCCATTTACCAGCTATTTTGATGTTCACCAGGGGTACAAGGTTTTGACACACTGCCATATGACGGTTGATAGAAGGACAGTCCCCAATCAGATGATCATGAGTGGTAGACCAAGCCGGTCCTTTGGTTCCAGGGCATCACTGAGAAATTAAGGCCGGAAGGAATCCGAAACATCAATACAGCTAATGTTGATCACAGGAAGACAAGGCAGGCGCCAAGAATGCAAAATGGTTTTGCCAGTGGGTTTTAGATGAAACGACATCTCCACATTTTCGGCTCAAGATGTCTCAATTTTCTATGATGCAATGATGCAACTATATATACATACAATTATATAATCATATATCATATGTATCTATCTATATATATAGGTCACCCAATTTCGTGTGATGCAAGCCAACACTTCCCTTTCGGCCGGTGCAGGCAATTCTTCCCTTCCAAGGTCGGAGGGCGACCAGCATGGCCAAGGGACCAAGCTCTCAGCGACATGGATGGATAGCATGGTCCGTTTGTGGGATTCTTTCTGCTGATTAATATAACCCCATCATGGTTACTAGGGATTGTATGGGTTGTGTTTTTTCTGATGATATAGTATATTATAATCCCATCATGGTTTGTGTTTTTTCTAAATCTGATTCTGAATCTAAGTGTTTTTCAACGGATTTTGTCACTCCTATTTGAAAAGACAATCGACGCCTGGAAACCATGTCAGAATCAGCACCGAGTTTGCTAGAAATTGCTTTCGGTCTCGAACTCAAAGTGACCTCATATGCAGGGGTTGCTCATAATTTGCAGCGTTTTAGTTACCCTCCGGTCATCAAACGTGGCTGGGAAATCGCCGAATGAAATGGAATTTTTTTTTTTGCTGAGAAAACCATCGAACTAAATGGATGGAGGGTACATGGTAATCCCATCATAGTCATGGTCTATAAATTGGGAACTATGATAAAGATGATACAGATATGATCCACAATATTTAAGGACATCATCCAACTCTATCCCCATGTATCCCAGTAGGGGCACCGGGTCGTTCCAGGTCCCGTTCGTATCACAGGTTGATCCCCGAGAAGCTTCCAGAGGAGCTGACGTGTTCCAGGCCATGATCTGCAGTGTCATCAAACGTGGCTTGCTGGAAAATCACCCATTTCGTCCGTTGATTTTCCCATTAAAACCATCCATTTATAGTTGATTTCGAACTTTTCCATGTTTGATGGTACTGAGACTTAACAACCTTGTCTGAGACATTTTTCCACCTTGTATACGATAGTTGTTGGGGGATGCCCTCCTTAACTGTCTTTAAAGGAACTGTTCATTTTTCCGCAGTGTTCTGACTCTTTTTCGGCAGCTTCGGCAGTGGAATATTTTGGACTCCTGGAAAAACATGCAAGGTGGTGCCCCATAGTTAGCTAAGTTGGTTTATAACTCCCATAACTATGGTTTATGGCAGATATAACTATAGTTTTCATGGGGTTTATAAACCAACAAACATAACTGGGGGGCACCATCCTGTGGAAAAACTGGTCCATGATTGAATCATCGTTTGGACCATTGGAGGGCGAAGCCCAGTCCCAGTCTGGCTTCAACGATGGTCGCTGCATCAGGTGTGGATGCCGTCTACGCTTTCTGATGCAGGTTTCGTCGCAAGATTTGGGAGATATAAAGGGAGATTGAAATGTGTGGCTCGCCTTATGCCCCTTATACCTTTGTTGGGTACAACCGAAAACCCGAAATGGTGGTCATAGACTTTTCCCGCAAGACGTTTATGAAGGTAGAGGAAATTGATAAGGAACCCTCAGACATTTTGAATGTAGGAGCGCAGTTGAAAGGGATTGGAGGAAGGGCATATTCGAACGATATTTGGGACCAACGGCGGACCAACTTTCACAGTATCCGGGCCCAAAAGTTCGGGGCGTAGCTGGGAATTCTGAATTTGGTCAAGTGTCAGTTGCGTTGTCTACGTATTACCAGTACTTTTCAGCGGTGCTAAAGAAACGTGATTGAGTTTCAATGCTTCTTGTTCTTGTTTGTTCATTGGTCCAGGCTGACCAGACACGGGCGATGTAGAGTTTTGCTCAAAGTGCAGTCCGTACGTAACATGCGTGAGCACATAGGTTCACTGTCAGCAGGTTTCAATTGCATGCAATTGCACTTACCCAACAATACTCATGGAATATGTTTTTGATGTTCTGCTTGAAAGATATATGATATATGATACGGAAATCATCATGAATACCCTCCGGTAATCAAACGTGGCAATTGAAAATCCTCATTTAGTTCGAGGATTTTCCAGCCAGCCCCATTTGATTACCAGAGGGTAAATGAACATCAATAGTCAATGTATGGGGCGTTTCTAAATAGTCGTCTGGTTTGCAAGAAACACTTAGATGGCCAATGGAGTGAATTAACTAGTTAGAATGGATGAGAATCATTTGTAATTAATTGGGATAATTATACTTGGTTATTGGACTATTTATAATTGGAATAGCGTTGGTTAAATGGATGATAAATGGGATATGGTATAATATGGTTGGTTAATCTTGGTTATACCATGTTATACCTTGTTATAATAAAATGTCTGGTTGGTGGTTTGGAACATGGCTTTTATTTTTCCATTCAGTTAATCCCGACTGACGAACTCATATTTTTCAGAGGGGTTGGTTGAAACCACCAACCAGTTGTTATAATAAAATGTTGTAGCCCACTTTCTAACCAGGAATCGCCTTAAAATCCCATGGCCAAAACGCCCATCACCCCCCTTGATCAACAAAAAACCGCTGCAGATCTCCGCATCTCAGGGATCTTGGAAGGCAGGGGATTTCAGCGGCTTTTCTCATGGTTGGAACATAGAGATACTGGTTGGTGGTGACTGGAACATGGCTTTTAAAACTTTCCAGAAACAGTTGAGAATGTCATCATCCCATGTTTTCAACTGACTTTCACTCCATCATTTTTCAGAGGGGTTGGTTGAAGCCACCAACCAGTAATTTTTATTAACCATATAATAACCATATGATAACCATATGATAACCATTATTAACAGTATATTAACCAACACCAACCAGGATAAGATTCAAGAGCTATCAACTTATGTATCTTGGATAGTTGATCGGTTCTTGATGGAGGTGATGGATGTGTGTTTTGCAAAAATCTATGAGCTGGAAAAGTGAGGGATGTGTCTGCAACATTCCAGTACTGGTTGGTGGTTTCAAACATGAATTTTATTTTCCATAAGATATGGGATGTCGTCCTTCCCATTGACTTTCATACTTTTCAAGATGGTTAAAACCACCGACCAGAGAATGTATTGTATGTATGTTTAACCGTTAATTATATATTAGATATTATATATATATATTGTATCAAGCAAAGCTCCTTGTACCAAGAAAGCTCCTGGTGGAAAACCTGTTTTTCGCAAGTACCAATCATGTCAATGGGATCAGTTTCGATGGGATGATTTTTTCGGGCTACGATGGGCTACGGCATCGTTTCAGACATGGCGCCATGTCATTGTTCATGGTGGAGTCTGCTCCCAATTTCATGGTGGAAATCCCGTTGTGGAAATCCTCAGATTTCCCCATGGTCTATACCCTCTGGTTATGACTAACATAGCTATGGAAAATCATTGGTTTTAATGGGAAAATCCACTATTTCTATGGCCATTTTCAATAGCAAACTGTTAAATTACCAGAGGGTCGATGTTGGAAAAATCATTGGACGATGATTGGACGATGATTTCCATTGAATTGCTACGTTTGTGATTTGAACATAGGCTCGACATGGGTCGACCATATTGAATCTTGAAGCGACCCAACGCTGAGGAGTCTTGCTTCCACCGCATGTTGCACCTCTTTGTTTGCACCAACTGCCAGCCCAATGAGGCTGGCGTGCTCGGAAATCTTGAGTTCTCCCGCTGAGCTGAGAATTATGATGCATGATGCCATTCGGAAATTCGGAAATTCTATCCCAGTTCAATGGGATACCCTCTGGTTATGTCAAAATAGCTATTGAAAATGACCATAGAAATAGTGAGTTTTCCCATTAAAAATGGTGATTTTCAATAGCTATGTTAGGGTATCCCAGATATCCCATCCATTTCGGCTGGATTCTACCGGAATTCTTCACGTCGTTGGGATTAGAGGCACGGGTCTTTCGCGCCCAATTGCCTCGAGACTGCCCGGGGCCTGGTGGGCCTGGTGCTGGTGCTGCGAGATTGGGTCTCCCGCGGGAATTGACTATGTCTATGTAGTTCCCAGCATGGCTATGGGTCAAAATTGAGTAGCCCTGGATGATATTGGATGATTGGATGGTAGAGAGAATAAGATATACTTAAGAATCACAAAAAAAAAAAAAACTGTGGTTTGCCAGGTTTGCCAGGGCAATTTTTTGACCCATGTCATGGCAATTTTGGTTGGTGTTTACCATTCTGCCCATGGGGATTTAGCCTCAGGTCATCAGCCCATGGGAAATCCGGGTGATTTTCCCATGAAGACCTAACTTGGCACTCCATGGCATCACTTTGTTAGCTGGATCGGGACAGGGACGACCATGCAGCAACCTCAAATAATGAAATCATATGGTAATTAATATAGGAACTACACGACTCTAAAGATGGTTTTTCAGTTTCTTTCAGAATTGGTGTGTGAACATTAAGTGAGGTTGCCGAGAAGTACCCTCTAGTAATTTAACATAGCTATTGAAAATCACCATGCTATTAATGGGAAAACTCACTATTTCTATGGCCATTTTCAATAGCTATTTTGACATAACCAGAGGGTATGCGAATGGTGAAGGTCTATCATTGGCTGTCACCTCGCCGCGAATGTAGGCCCCTACTACAGCTGGGATGAACCGGATCGAGAAGCACCTGGGTGGATTTTGGGACGACCCGAAAAATTGACAGAAGAATTGTGTCAGACTCTAGCAATATCTAGCATAATCTAGCATATTTCATCATCATATTGGAATGAATCATGGCATATTTCATCAATATAATCTAGCAATATCAGATGATTATGCTAATGTTGGAATAACCTAGCATATTTCATCATCATATTGGAATGAAACAGCTAATAGCAGAGCTGTCGGGCAACCTGAGGGTCAAAGTAGATTAGCCTGACAGAAGCAGGGATATAACAGGTATTGTATAAACTGCTACGAGTCACCGACAAAATTATCTAAAGACTAGAGTAATATACATAGGTACAAGGTGGTGCCCCATGGTTAGCTAAGTTGGTTTATAACTCCCATAACTATGGTTTATGGCAGATATAACTATAGTTTTCATGGGGTTTATAAACCAACTTATAACTGGGGGGCACCATCCTTTACTAAAGTATATGATTTTTCCTTTGAAAGTGGTGATTTACCCATTGACAACGAGTGGACTTGGGATGTTTATGTGTGAAAACCTTCACAAGCGATAGGGGACTGCCCACTTTGGATAGCCATGGCCATGACATAAACCCAGGGCGTCATTTACAAACCTATTGTGGTCAGAATTCTTCGCGGTATTTTCTCAACATTAATTTTTCAAGTTCTGAAGTACGCGTCATTTCTATTGTTCTCAAAAGTTATTGACCCCGAAAACATCCGAAAACGGCTTTGTCCTTTGATTTGTCAATAGTGTGAATGGTAGATTCGGCCATATTCAAAGTCCCTTTGGTGCCAACCTTGGCGGCAAGGGGCACTGGCCAAACCATTGTTAACCACTATAAACTACTATTAACCACTAATTATAAGCACGTATCTTTTCCAACCTTGCTGATGATGGTTGATTCGCAGACTTTTAAAAACTCCCCTTGGTCAACCTGGTGCTTGTTGTATGGCTCAAATTTTAAGACTGGCCGTGGAGTCCTTAAGAATCTCTGAGGGATGGTCATCCATAGGGTTTCATGCTTGAGACATGCAAAAACATCAGTTGCGATCGATTGTTTATCCGTTTATCTTTATCCCATGAATAGCAATGTTTATCCCATTTAATAGGAATATTTAATAATATTTACCCTCTGGTAAACTTTCACATAACTATGGAAAGATCCACCATTTTCTAGCTGGCTAAATCCACTATTTCTATGGTCATTTTCAATAGCTATGTTGAATTACCAGAAGGTAATAGGAATATTTATCTCATATCAAAAGCAACGTTGTTACCAACTGTAGGTTTTCACATCTCGATCCAGGCTGTGCATCTGGAGGCCAAGGATGCAGAGTTGGAGGCGCGACCGAAGATGTTTCAAACCTGTAAGATCCTGTAATTCTATAATATAACGCTGTTTTAAAGCTCTAAGATCCTATAACATCCTATAAGCCCATTTATGATCATGTATGATCATGTATGATCATGTATGATCATTTATGATCATTTATGATCATTTATGATCATTTATGATCATTTATGATCATTTATGATCATTTATGATCATTTATCCATTTATGATACCAGCCCTAGCGAAAATGTATGGGCTGTGAATTGGAATTCCGTACCTTCAGAGGAAGTATTTGCAGGGTATAGCATGGTCTAGACATTTATCTGGACAAATTATAACGACCTCACTGCGACCTCACTGGAAATCATAGTTAATAAGGGAAATCATCCCCAAATGGCCTTAATTCAGGTTAGTGAAATATTAAACATATTACAAGGTGGTGCCCCATAGTTAGCTAAGTTGGTTTATAACTCCCATAACTATGGTTTATGGCAGATATAACTATAGTTAATGGGGTTTATAAACCAACTTATAACTGGGGGGCACCATCCTGTATGATAAGGAATCCCATTCATGATGGATGATCATAAGCCACGATGTAACTTGACGATGGGAATGGATTCAGAGTAAGGACTGCAGGTCCCTGTGTGTTTAGTGTTTGATCCGCACCTGATATCCATAATTGATCATGGGCATGAAGCATTTTTCCGTTTTGGGTAGATTCTATGCATTTGTACAGACGTACGTGCCGCTGGCACATCGGTTTGTTCCAAAAGGGTGCTATCATGTCCCATCGAGGTCGTGGAAATCCAAGCAGAACACAATAGGGTTTTACCCAAACATCTGGTAACCAAAGAATCCGCTGGTGAATCATCAGCTTACCCAAAGAAAAAACCATTGATTGCCATAAGAATGGGGGCTATAACTATACCATTGTATACCTTTTTTTTTGGCCTGGTTAAACCTGGTTACATCTCTCTTGAAGTCCCATTCCAGCAGACTTATATTAATATGCAGTGTTCGTATATGTTAGTAAAGCAATGATAAACCATCAATATTTTTTTTCCTCAAATGGTTGGTACTGTAGAAACCATCATGAAAAAATATTGCCGGTTCATTACTGCTTTGCTAACAGTACATTGAACTCCCTATTTTCAAACAGTGCATTTATAGTGGATTGACCCATTAAAACTGATGATTTTCCATAGTTATGTGAAAGTTTACCAGAGGGTAAATCCCATTAAATCACAATTTTTGTTGGTATTTTATCCCATTAAACCACCATTAAATCATTGATGTCTGGCTTTCTTTAGGGGGCCCAAACGTGGCCTGTCGCTTCAAGTGGCAGGCGCTGTGCTGCCCCGATTGTGGTCTCCCATGCGAAGGATCCTGCGCAACATGGGCGGACTGGGAGGTGGTACATGGGGATTTAATGGGGGATTGGATGGGATTTCACATGATTTACCCTCTGGTAAACTTTCACATAACTATGGAAAGATCCACCATTTTTCATGGGTAATTCCACGAACTAACTCAACATTTTCGATAGCTTTGTATGTTTACCAGGCCGGGTTTGGTGGAATCTCATAGGTTGAACTAACCAACTGGTAATTTCTTACATAGCTATGGAAAATGGACCATAGAAATAGATGATTTACCGAACCAAAAAATGGTGATTTTCCAGTTCGCTATGTAAACGTTTACCAGAGGGTAACATGGCCATTTCAATGTGATGATTAATCATAGGATTCTTGGGGTACTCTATTCTGGTCGCTTCGCGACGACCGCCCGCACCGGAGTGTTAGCTTTGGAGTTCCAATAAAACTATGTTGGCCTGAAGCCCAAGTTCGGCAACTTCGCTGATTTTAGATCCCTTTGAAAGCGTCCAAAAAACACAGTGCTCTAGAGCAATACAGGCCCCAAGCTAAAGCTTACTAGCTATTGCAATTGCTTCCGGTGAATGCGTGCACGCAAAGACCGCCTCGGCACCTTCGGTGCGGGCGGATTTTGAAATAACCTACATGGATATCCAGACACAAACCACCTTAAGGTTCACTGAGTTCAAATTCCTCTGGTCACAGGTGTTTCACATGCTTTTTTTATGCCTAAAGTATTTCCACCCCAAACGTGATATAACTTGTTCAATTAAATATCATTCCTAACCCCAAGAATCTATCAATATCTCATCGCTGGCAAGAGGGGAACATTTTCAGAAAAAACCTGCCTGGCTTTTAATGGTAAAAGCATGGATGTCAAGTAAACAACTCCCTTCAAACCACCCCAAAAATATGAAAATTATTGGGATGTGAGTTCCACCAGGTTTTTTTAATGATGTTTTATGCATTGTTTGCCTTTTCGCCATCGCTTATATAGGCGGTGGTTCTTCACCGTCTGGCTTGCGGTGTGGTGACTGCACACGACGGGCCAGGTGGGGTAGATGTCTGATCAGACATGAGAAATTGATGTTCTTTTAAAAGTCAACAAACAGTGATTTTTCGTGTGGGTAAAACGATGTCATTTTTGCCACCCATGACTGGGAATGGTAACCATATACCACCTATAAACATGGTGATGACTGGGGGATGGTTTATTATTGTTTTACAGTTTTACCCATATTATTAGTATTAAGGTAACACTACTATTTGGGTGGATTAACCACTATTCACCACTATTCTAGAGGCAACATTCCCATATTCAGAAAATCTTCGCATACCATGTTTTCATCGTACTCCAGACCTGGGTTTTGGTATGTTACTTTGATAGGCATTTCAGCTCAATCTGGAGGGAACAGTTGGCCCACGGCGAATCCACTGAATGCCCCTCCACAGCTTTCTATCCCCTATGTCGTTCCAAAGCAGCTGTGGACGTTGAATGAATTGAAGGCTGCTTTGACAAGGAAGTTTCCTCATTTGTCTAATGAAGAAGGACAGGGTTGTCAAAGGTAACGTTTTTAAAGGTTGGCTGAGTAAAAATTAGCAAGTTTCTTCCCCGGGACCTCACCCAAGGTGAACTCGGAAAAATAGAACCCACTGGTGTGCCCCTGGAAGTTTGGGCTGGCTTTGGGATTGGAATTTTGGTTTTGGCCCCGAAATTTCCCTATGTGGTCTCTATACCAGCCACGCATACTCGGAATTCTTCGCATTCCACAAATTCTTCGCACTCCAGCGAGGGCATCGCACTCCACAGCTAGGGACGTACACATACTGTAAAATCCACGCGCTCTGCAAGATCTTCGCACTCCATAAAATCTTCGTACTCGGTGATTTTCTCGTTTTTTTCGTTTTTTTTTTGTTTTTTTTCTTTGGCTAAAATCGCCTGGAATCACGTTTTCTGGAATATGGGCAAGGTAGCGGTTTCGCGTGAGACGTCTGTAGTTTTACATACTATCGCATTCCAGTCCATTTTGGCCAAAAATGACCAAAAAATCAGAAGAAAAAAAAGTTCAGCAGGGTGAAATGTGATAATTTTCTGGTATATGATGGAACAAACTGGTGTTGGATCCATGGGGAAGGTCGAAGGGGGCCACGCATACTGTTTTATTTTCGCATTCCAGAAAATTAGCGCACTCCAGGGGTGGCATCGTACTCTATCGGGGGAATTATTTTGCACGGAAGAAAACAGGATCGTCGATGATTTGTGTTCCCAGATCCTGTTGTGCAGAGCTCTTTGCGGGGCCACAAAGATGTCAAGAAAGATGGGGATGGCGCTGCTGATGAAAGGCCAGCCAAGCGTGCCAGAACATAAGCTTAAAGCTTATGAATTGGGTTTTGAGATCCTGAAAAATGTAGATGACAAATTCCCATAAGAACATTATTAATCCATTTTTGGAAAGCTCAACATTATTAATTATGACATTTCCAGAAATTGTTGAAAGTAAGGATCTTCTTTGGGGAAGAACATGTGCAGTCGACAACGTACGTGCCAGAAGAAACGGAGTACTTGGCAAACTGTATGAAATACAAATTTCACCTGAAAGGGGTCTTCGCAATTCCCTGAAATTTCCCAGCTATTTTGGCATGGAATATGTTCGGCCCTGGAATATGGGCAAGAAATTGCTAGAACTATGGTTCACTATCTACTGGCATTGTTTTAACCAGCGATTTACTGCCCACAAAAACTTGATGTTCTCGCGAGAAAGGTGTGAAGTGTGGTGAGTTGGATCTTGTTTTGGGCGGCTTGAATCAAGCACTGATATTATTGAGCCAGTTCTTCACATGTTTTTTGATGTATATAAAAAATCATATTAATCGAAAAATGATATTCATCATAGAATATATATATATATTGATATGATTCATGATTATGTATATGTTTCTATTTAAGTTTCCATTTAAGTTTTCTATTTGTTTAAATGAAATATTTTATATCAATAGTGAATTCATGAATATCCATTTCATGGTGGGATGTTCATTAATTCATGGTGGGATATTTAAGTTTTCCATATCATGTTTTTTCACATCCCACCACAGGATGGGGCCCAGTTATAAGTTGGTTTATAAACCATGAAATGATCCCCATTAACTATAGTTATATCTACCATAAACCATAGTGAAATGGGAGTTATGAACCAACTTAGCTAACGAACTGGGGCACCACCTTGTACCTATGTATATTACTCTAGTCTACCATAAACCATTGTTAAGCCACTATGGTTTTTTCACATCCCACCATAAGAAATGCTCAGAACACCGTAGGAACGGCGACCCGGCGGTGCCTTTCTGCGAGTTCGAAGCCGCGGAGAGACGATCGGTGGCCAGTGGCCTGTGAACGTTAACAAAAGCCCCAGTAGCCATACCCTCTGGTAATGACTAACATAGGATTAAATGGGATTTTATAGTGATTAAATGGGATTTTATAGTGATTTAATGGGATTTTATAGTGATTTAATGGGATTTTATAGTGATTTAATGGGATTTTATAGTGATTTAATGGGATTTTAAGTAGTTATGGGATTTTCATCGTGGTTGCCTGGGCTCTTCTCGTGATCTCATGGGCTCTTATCGTGATTTACTGGATTTTCTCGTGCTTCCTGGTCTTTTCCTCGTGCTTTCATGGCGCTTTTCTCGTGCTTTCCGGGCTTTTTCTCGTGCTCCCTGGGGTTTATCTAGCACTTTATGGGCATTTTCTCGTGCTTTCACATGGTCTTTTCTCTGCTTTCACTGGTTCTATTCCGTGATATTATGGGCTTTTTCGTGCTTTCTCTCTGGCTTTTCTACGTGATTTCCATGGGCATTTTCTAGTGAGTCAAACATGGGATTTTTATAGTGCTTTATGATTTTTTCAATGACTTACCTGGGATTTTATAGTGCATGGAGTTTTCATCGTGTTTCCCTGGGCCTTTTCTCGTGTTTTCCCCTGATTTTCTAGTGATTTAGAAAAAGAAAAAATGGGTATTTTATAGGTGATCTACTGGATTTTTATAGTGATTTAATTGGGATATTATAGTGATTTAAGGATTTTAATAGGTGATTTTAAGATGGGATTTTATAGTGTTTAAAATGGATTTTCTTGATTTAATGGGATTTTATAGTGATTTAATGGGATTTTATAGTGATTTAATGGGATTTTATAGTGATTTAATGGGATTTTATAGTGATTTAATGGGATTTTATAGTGATTTAATGGGATTTTTTTTAGTGATTTATATAATGGGATATTAATGGGATATTAATGGGATATACCCTCTGGTAATTTGTTACATAGCTATTGAACATGGCCATAGAAATAGTGGTTTTTCCCATTGAACATGGTGATTTAAACCATAGTTATGTGAAAGTTTACCAGAGGGTAACTAGTTCGTTATAAATACATATAAATACCATAAGCCATATAGTGAAATTGGAGTTATTGGCACCAACTTAGCTAATTATGGAGCACCACATTGTATGGAAAATACCAAAAACCAGCAAGATGTGATTTATTCCATATCAAACAACTAGATGATTTTTGTAAACACAAAAGATCAATGTTAGAATCAATATTATTATAGCTATTTATATTCATTGTGTGTTTACCATTGATTCTAACATTGATTGTAAATATATGACATAATACATGTATAATTTTAGATACGAATATGATATTTATTTATGATAATGATTCTTTTTGTGGACTACCACAGATTGATGATCTATCTTATTTGGGGGGTTACCTTCTTTACCGGGGGAGGCTGGTGAAAGTTGGTGACATCCCCAACCGCTACCTTGACTCCAAAGAGGAGTGTAGTGTTTTCAGCAATTTTTGGTTTGCAAGCCAAAAAATGGGATGGTGAACTTAATCAATCAATATCAATCATATTAAAATGACTGTGATATACACTAATATACTTTAATACTCTTCAGAACTTTGAAACAACCAACACTGTTTTCCCCCAGGCTTGGGGTATCTTGGCACCCATTTCATCCAATTTCAAATAATTTGAGACAGAAGCAGACTGCAACATGTGAAGATTTCGCCTTGACGAAAATACGCGGGGCTCAACCCCTACAGGCTTTCGCCCTATTCCTGAAGTCATCCCCGGCTGAGGTACAGTAACTAAACTATGATCTGGCAACTAGTAATCCTAAGATATTCTAAGTCTAAATATCATTAAATATCTAAATATCCAATATTTAGAAGCAACACATGCAGGTGGTAGGTGTCCCAAAAAGCCTCCCATGCCGGCGTTTGTGTCGTGGGCGTCCCAATGGCATCGACGTCAGACAGCGATGCGAGGCACCGGGGTTCGGGAGATCCATGAGTCAAACCCCGAACGCGCCCTCTTGAGCATCCAAAATAGCAAATGGATGCGATTTTCCACCTCCAAATTCATGCGATTTTCCCGCTTTTGCCATCCCCATGTCAGCTGTTTGTGGAAATAGGTGGGCTTCAGGACCATTCTCATGCTGCATCAAACGGGTATAGGAATGGATAGGAGGCATGCGGATGCTGATTCCCCAAGAGATGGGTGACAGAAGTAAGGGGATATTCCCTCGAAGTACAGCCTTTATTCTTGCATTGTCCATTGAGGTTTACTATGGAAGAACATCAACTTTGAATCTGTCTGGAAAAATGTCTGTCGCACACGTATGTGCTGAAGTTGCGCACCCGCAACTTGCGCAGTTTTTTCGGCCGCTTGGGGTGAGCGATTTTCACCATCCTCCAACATATTCAGATTGGCCAATCCCCAACTGTGCAGCATGCAAGCTTTGAGTATTTTCAAGTGTGCTATCCAGGCCAAGCCCAGCAATAGATCGTATCATCACATGTTTGACTCGTTTGCTGATTGGATCCTCATGTTTGCTTTCTTGTTTCCAATTCTTGCTGATCTTCTTGATTGGCTCACCCTTTAAACTTTGGCAGGTTCCCCATTTTGATGGTCAGATATCCATAGATATCTGATATCTGTGTTTTCCATGAAACATCTGATGGATGACCATTGCATATACAGCTCTGGCAGGTCATGAAAGACATTTGGAGGGAGGCACACTTCTGCTGGAGCGGGCTGAGACTTTCATGCGATTTTACCCGGTTAAAACTGGCATCTCAACCAGTTGAAGAAAGGAAAATCTTCGCCAAGAAACATGGCATATCGTCCTGAAATGAACGTATTTGGGCGCCAGTTGATGGCGTTTCGACCAAAAAAAACACGACTTCCACCAGCGAGTCGGGGTATAACCATCTATGAGACGGCAGGTCAAGTCAGTGGGTACCCCAAGATTGGATGGTTTGCTATGTATATATAAATAATACAATATATATATATATCATATAGTCATATAGTCATATATTTATATATATATTGAAGATATCTATATCTATATATACATATATACTAGTATGTATATTATACATATATATATATATATATCACTATACACATATATAATTAATATAGTGTACACGAGCGGCATCTGGGGAACTCAGAAGCTCTGGTACACTGGTGTCGAGGCCTGGATCAACTCGGAGTTCACTGGTCAGGTGGTGAGACAAGCCCAGTGGGGCAATGGATATAATATACATAATATACATATAAATATTCATGATGTATTTGTTTGATTCTATATACAAATATGTGTATATATATATAACATACATATACATACATTGTATATATATATATATTTATATATATATACAAATTGTATATATATATATACATATGTATATAAATAGACGCTTAACATAGATATAGTTATTTTTCCCACTGGTTGGTCGATCAAAATTACAACCGAAATCACAACCGTTAAGTGTAGATTTAGTATCCAGCCAAGTCCAAAGTATTTTTCCTTGAAGGACATGGGTTGATTTACACCTAGATATTTGTATATCAGACCCGTTTCTTGTAATTTTCAAATCCATCTATTTAGATTTGATTAGATAGCTGCTAGGTATTTTTCGAGTTCCGTTTGTTTCTGCTGGCCTTAGAAATTGAGGTTCCTGTCAGTCCTTGGAATTCTCGAAGGGGCGATTTCCCGCGGCCTTGCCTTGCCCCCCTGCAATTCCCAAGATTGTTGAGGATCCCCCACGAAATCAAACCGGATTGAAACTCAACTGTCGATTTCACTCTGCGACTATTTATCCCACCAGAACGAAGTCAGACAACTCCCGGGACAAATTCATAACCCCCCCATAATAAAGTCAGTCAACTGTTTTTTTTGTTTTTGTTTTGGTGATATTTTATAGTTAACTATATTGAGAAGTTTCTAGACTAAGCCGCTAAGCCTTCCCCAAATCC